CGGTGCTTTCCCGTCCGGCACCTTCTTGCGTAATTGCTGGTACTAGTATTAGCAATCACACTCACAGCCTAGTCTTGTTGCTTTGGTTCTTACTCCATGCTTTCACGCAATCGCAGACTAGATCAGGAGGAATGCTGTCATACATTTACATCTTCAGGCAGACTATGGATTTTTCAATGATTATGTCCCAACCCCCACAAGTAACCAAGCTCAAGCTTGTTTTTACCAGCACTGCTGGTAGTCGTGCTAGTGGTCCGCGTGAACACTGGGCAGTGCCCAATGGTAGTGGGTGCTATTTTTGTGATGGTTGCTAGCTTGTCGTGACGCACGGATGGTCAGAGTCACAGTGAATAAGCATTAGCAATTGAAACACCGTATTCGTATTGGACACTGTTAGTGTGTGTGATGCAGTGACTCTGTGAGACCCTGACGCCTAGCTGATTGTTCTCGTGACGGGTACAAAGCATTCTAATGATCGAACACTAGCGCTATACCGGCTCATAATCATTACGGTTACTGAACGGATTCGTTGCCGTTGGGAAGTTAAGTTACACTGAAGTTGGAACGACAGAGGGTCCCTTTCACAACCACCCACTCGCCTTCGAAGCGTAGTTCCTCCAGGGACGATCGTGAAAGTGTTGTGTTTCGCTCTGCGTCGCGTCTGCAATGATATGCCACGACAAAGCAAGAACAAGGGCTGCTCATTCAGACAATGCTAAAGGTGGTGTGTACCTGGGCTTCGGCGCAGTCCCTTCCGAGCCCACCTGCACGTGTGCGTGGTAACGGTAGCGTAGTTCACTGACGTTTCCTAAAAAAACAACAGTGTATCCGTCTTCTCACTATTCCGTCCCAAGCTATCCTCCAGTCGGTCAGCATTCACAATTTCACATTCATCCGAACCTCCATGGACAAGGCGCACGTGCAAGATCACGAATCGGAGTCGACGTAAATGACCATGCCACCTACATGACTGTACAATCATACTCACTTACCTACTGTATGGATGGTGGCGCTCACATATTTCTGCTACCACTACCACTGTACAGACGCCTGATCACGCTTTAGGTTGAATGGATACTAATAAAGATTCTATGTAGATACAGTGCAGATGCAGTGTGGATACACGCACGGACAATGCGTTATGACAAGTACGGAACAACGTACAGTGGCTAAGCCGAAGGTTTGATTGACATACTGGCACAATGACAGGTGAGTTCTGTGTGCATGTGCATTGCGCATTGGACACGCGTGGGTGCCTTCTTTCAGCGCCACCATGACTGGAGATTTTCCTTTGTCTAAGATTGGAACAACAGTATGCCCGTGTTATTAACCAGGACGCGTGTAGCCAGAAATGCAGCCAGCAGTCGCAGCAGGCTGTGAAAAGAGGCGCCGACATCTCCCGGCAGACGCGGCACGCGGACATGTCATTGTGACGAGCTGTCTGACTTACTGGACAGTGAAGGGCGGCGTGTTCAGCCGTGCGTGGGTGCTGGTCGTGTGCCTGTCTGCACGTGGCATGCAGCACACATCATTCTCAGTCCGGCTTTTCGCTCCATCCGTAGTGCGAAGTCTAAAGCCCCGTATGGCTTACCAATGTTTTGTAGCATTGACATTCTATCAGTCTTCTACCGCTCGTCTGGTACGCTTACACTGTACAAGCGGCGTGCATCTGGGCACCTTGTCTGCATTCCATGGCGCCCCTGTACTGCTGGATGGTGTTTTGTAGCTCGAACGAGATTCCTGCGAAGGTTGCGCTCAATGGAAGGTGGCTATGTGACGGGGAGACGACTCAGATCACATCAGTCACCTTCATCAACGATCGCCATGATCGCAGCTTACATGAAGGACAAGCGACGAAACGGCTACCTTTTGAGTTTTGTCGGCCAGCACGGCTGACAGTCTGTACGCGGTTGGGGCGGCATCCTGACACAGCCGTGTATCTACTGTCGGCGAACAGTGTTACCTGCAATGTAACACACCATACAGCCTGCAGATGTGATGTGATGTTTTGTAATCCAGTCAGATGTATGATGGTAGCGTGGGCAGCTCGTCCAAATGCTGTTTCAATTAATTAAATGCGGTGTTTTCGAACAAAGCGCAGCAGATAAACAACAACTACACCCTGCCTTCAAACGTTCGGATAACTGTAAACTGTGCATATCGATGGTTAAACACGTCCCACGGTAGCATTGTGTTTTCACGGCACTGCACAGCCCTAGGCTTCTGTTGGTGAGAGTTCTCTGTGCTAACCTGTACAAATCCCCTGTCCATAATATCCCCTGATGGCATGTGTCAGGGATGGTGCGAGAACACGGAACAGCAGGCAAACTGACTAACTTCAGCGACTGGACGCTGGAATGCACACCTCCTCTACTAAACACGGTGCGCTTGCTCTGACTCTGAGCGCTAAGTTAGGGAGATGTTAGGAATCAAGGCTCCACGGGCACAGCCCGGTGCGAGATATTTCCATTTGGCCCATTGGGGGATATGGCTGGAAAATGCTGTAGATGTAGAGCTGATGGCAACCAAACGTAACACGGATCATACTGACTGATGGGAACCAAACGTAACACGGATCATACTGACTGATGGGAACCAAACGTAATAGTGCTAACACGGATACTCCGAGGAATGTGGCAGAAAGTTGATAAGCATATCCCGAGCAATGTATGTATACGTGAAATGCAAAGCGTTCATGCAGGCTGGTTTTCATCCTGTGACGGAAGACACTGCAATAGTAATACAGACACTGGCGTACTGCATTTTTAGCACATCTGCAGCAGAAAAGAGGATCGACTGTCATTCCATGTGTAAATGTCTGCGCGAGATCCGTCTGCCAACTGCCAACAATCTCCGCTTCTGGCTTCAATTGTGCCCAGTATAACCCTTTGCATAGCCTAAAAGACGTAAACACAGAATGTCAATATTGTTGATCTGCAGCTGCTCGCGCCGTGAATAGATAGGTCGGCGGAAGGACATCTCTGTCACGACTCTATGCAACTCGCGGCGTAATAATGTGACCAATTAACACGGCGTCGCCATTCACGACTTGCTAAACTAATAGTCGTGGGCTAGACAATTAAAATGACGACTGGAATTTCAGTGTGCATTGTACGTTGATACTGCAGGTTACATGCTATACAATCCTGTATACATGTATTATGTAGATGAACGTAGCATGCCAGGTTTCTCCTCGCCATTGTAGATAGTGTATTACTCTATTGGAGCGGAGGCGCATATACCGTACATGCAATATTCACGCGTTCATTAGCTGTACAATTTCACTTCAAGGCGGTGGGCGATGCGTGGGTTTCCTCACAACTTTCCTGCTGCAACTGCGTGAGCAAATCTCGCGTCGATGTGACCTGCGACGACATGCGGCTGCGCAAACTTCTCATTTCACTCCGGACTTCCTTGAAAATATCCTTTCCCTGTCTGCACTGCTTGTCACAATTGGGATAAATGTGCGGAAGCTACCTGTACATGTACGTGTCCATGGATATGCAGTCGATTTTTGTTTCAAGCCGCGGACAAGATAAAGTAAATGCACAATTCTCACATGCACAGATCTCACATTTTTTATTCTACATGTCCTAAGGGGTGATGGGACGGGGACATACACACTACCAATGTGAAATCGATACCGGAAAGTTGATACTAAGCTAAGTCTTGATAGCGGCTTCCCTACCCTGTTCCACACAGATGGGACCAACACTGCGGTATTGTTAGTTCAGTATTCTGCTTGTGTGTGCGTGTGTGCATGGTGTGCGTGTGTACATGTATATGTATGTGTGTGCATGGTGTGTTTGTGTGCGTGAGAGGTTTCATTCCAGGATTTCAGGTCATCGGTCTCTAGCGAAGCTAGGTGCGACCTTCAGGGAAAAGGGGAACATGGTTTGGCTTTCATTCTCCGGCCTGGGACATGTCGACAAAGACAAGTCAGTGGACTCCATGGCATGTGCTTGTGGAACGCACTAACACAAACAGTTGAGATCAGTTACGATAATAATATGGACAAGGGTACAGTGAGCAGCTGACCAACATCCGCCGCCTGCAAGCCACACAACTCACTCAGGTAAAAGAAGGTACACACAGACGTACCGTCCACAGAGAACAAATAATTGTAGCTTGCTTCTTGACCCATCCTTTCCGTGCACCTTGGCACAGCACACGTGCCAACGTGACCTGGTGACAGATCGAGCTTCGTTTGGCAACCTTACTTGTCACGGGACTTCTTTCTCATGACACACCCAAGACACAACGACAGTGGGGAAGTACAGTCATGTACATGTGCATGACTGAGTGTACATGACTGTACTTCAAGTGCAGATACACCAGCTCTTCAGAAGGTAGGATATCTACCAGGGAGTGGTATGAACCCGGGTTTACACGACTTCCTGGTATCTACCTTGATCTCTACCATGTCTACCTGGTCTACTGCCTGGCCCAACCATTTTTGTTTCGACGTATGTTGCGCCCAAACCATCAGAGTAGCGTGCCAGATCATCCTATACCCCTAGACCAGAGACCTGGCACGTAGATAAGAGTGCCAGATCATCCTATCCCTAGACAAGATACCTGGCAAGGACAGACAGGGTGCACCACTTCTAGCATGCATTTCCCTGGAATCTGAATCGCCATGACAGCAACACACTCGCAGGCGCGTTTGGAGACGCGTGAGGTGCGGTCCAGCCTGTCCAAACACGTCGTAGTAAAAAATTGTGATAAGACTGTGCTAAAACTACACGATGGCCCAGTGTGTGTGAGAAGTAACGTTACATTTTCAAAGTCTAGCTAGCATCAGCACTAGCAGTCAAGGCGAAAGGTGCGACTCACACTTACCTGGATCCATCAACGTTTCAAGGCTTCTTGTGCAAAAGTTGAGGGGAAAATAGCGTGATGTGTTCGAAAATCAATGACAGGCTCTGATTACGAGTACATGACTGTTGATTGTGATGTCGCTGTGAACCATGGTGAACACCGGCAAGGGCTAGGGATGAAAATGGATGCTGGGGATTTTCGTCCCGTGGTAGTGGATTACATGTCAGGACTCTGGGACCACTGACCGTACTCCGTAGCACAATGATCAAGCGCGCAGTTTGAATGATGGTGTTATCTCGCGACATGTCACACCCATCCAAAAATTTCACGTGCATGCCGCACACAAAAATTCGACTTCACATCGGTGTAAAATTGCACACCCTGGACACATGAAAAATTGTTCCCAAGCAATCACCAGGACCAGAATTTCGACGACTGAATGAATAATGTCCGCAAGGGATAATTTCTTTGTTTACACAGCGCGTATTTGTCAAGGTAGCGGTGCAGAAATACTGGGTGTTGCCCACGAGGGACGGTATGGCTGCCAGTCGACAGGACCACCTACACTTAGCCACCAGCCTGAGCACAGCATCCGGACGACGAGCAACGCGCATCGACCTCGAGAAGGTGAGAACGAATATTGGCCAGGTAGATCTACACTACACGTTCTGTCTGGGATAGACACTAGACGAAGTCTTGGTCCAGACGCTAGACGCTAGGCTCTTGACCTAGCCACGACCACTGCAGATAAAAATAATAATGACTGTGTGAATGAATAAAAAAAGTTCTATACACTACATATCCATTGGACGAATGTACTACGACTAGACTTCGTGTACTTCGGCACATACTGGCATATTGCACAACACACTGCCACAGGAATCTCCCTGCAGATTAGAGATGTTCGTGAGCCATGCAAGCGAGCAGCAACTGTGTTCACTTGCTGTTGGAATGCAGTCTGCAGTGCTGTGCCAGCTGCCCAGTTCCAGCAGCAAACCCTAGTCTAGCCCAACAAGTGTGCATCCAATGCAATAAACTCAATAGGGCCCTGGGGGGGGGGTCAATACTTGAAAAGTGCTAGGCGCTTCTAGTCACACAACGCTAGAAGTGAGCGTGAGTGTGTCCAAGTGCAGGAACACAATGCGGGTCTGAGGCGCTACTTTGGGGCGGCAAATTAAATATTAATATTTTGTGCTCTGATTCCTGATAGCTTCTTTAGTCTGGTGTCCCCTGTGCGGCGCAGCTTTTGTTAGTTTGGCAATCTCAACTGACTGCTTCTGTGCCGACTTCACGTACTTGCCAGACACTTCACGGTGTGAACTTGCAAGAGATATTGGGCTAAGTAGGCTGAGGCAATGCCGCTGCAAAATGACTGCTAGTAGTATTACAAGCGCACTTGTACCGGGACAAGTCCGTACGCGTGTAATAGGATTAAAACTAAGTTGCATGAACATTTTAAGTACATTAGTATGGTAAATACTACGTGCACATGTACATGGACATGTATGTTAGCTTGACACTCAATTTTGTAGGGGAAAACGCAACACTGGACATGAACATGCAAGTCTACTCTTCTAAGAACATTGCAGAGAGTCACACAGTCCTGGTGATCCTGGAAAAGATATGAATTGTGCAGGCTGGAACTAAGAACAGAATTGTTACAATTCAATGGCTATTCATCCGGCAGACATACATGTACTGAAGTATTACAATTTGCATGTTATGTTAGGATTTTGTGTGTCTAGTGCAGTCCATAAGTCAGGCCTGCAAAAGTTCCTGTCTGCAAATTGTAGGTATTACAAAATTGTGTGTCATCGTACTTGACGTATATGTTTGTGAAAATGTATGGATAGCTCGGAAATGCTAGCCATTTTGATACAGTAGTATTACATTGTAGTTTGAAGAATAAAGTCGGCGCCCAACCTCCTTGTCGTCCAATTAGAACATTGCAGCCTGGAACAGTATCGCCTACTTTCTGGCCAGTTCAGTGCACGTGTGTATACATTCCTCAACATACACTCTATCTATGGGACGGGGAGGGTTGAGCTACATGTACATGACTGTACTTTGAAGTATGCTTCAGCGTTTTGTTGATTGAGCACTCTTGCTACCTGCACGTACATGTACATGACTATTCCAGATTTGCTTCCTTTCTGGTCTGGGGTGGCCACCTGCGTAGATAGGAGACATAGTACTTTGTAGAAGAGCTGGAGAACCTTCATGGAGAGATCTTCAGGTGTGGTTGTTTTCATAAGCCTTTGGCCAATGCCGCAGCAGAGCAGCGACACGAGTATGCAATGGTATGGGTCTATGTCATGTACATGTACATGTACATGTGTTCAGGGCTGGTGTGGCGGATTACAATCCAGACACAAAACAATGGAAGCACACTTTGCGCACATGTCCAGAGGAATGTTGTCATCTAGTGTGTGATCAGTGGGGACCGTCTCAGAAACTCACCCTGCACTTAACCAGTGCTATTTGGAGTTGCCTTGGACTGCTCAAGGAGTCCTCACGGATGTGACATTTTAGAATGGTGAATGAAGTGCCCCCATTACAGTATGAGCCATGGTTGATTGGATCAGATGGAAATGAGCAAAAAGCTTGAAATCCTATATCCAGGTGATTGAGATTGCACCTGAACAAGACTTGGAGAGCAATCTGTCACCTGACTGTGAATTCCAGTGATGTACAATGTCATGTACGTGTAGCAGGAGTGGATGCATTTCAAACTGCTGCTGATGTCTGGGTAGATCTACACTGTGCGTGTTGTATTAGTGTATTAGTGTATGGCAGCAGTGGTGTACTAAGCATCGCAAACATAAGCATAAGCATGCATCTGCTGCCTCGACTATGTTACAGTGTATTGGTTATAGGCGATCTTATACATGTATGTGTATGTGCGATAATCCAGAATTGGAACAACTACGGTCCTGGAGAGAGAAATCCAACCTCTGGAATATAATAGCACCGGGCGCTACGCAGCCCTGGCACTACACACACACACTGTTCTGTGCACTAGACCGCGGCACTAGTAATACACATGTATTACTGAGGTTGGTTTTCTGTGGCCAGGGCTGTGCATGCATAGTGGCATAGCCGTGTTGAAATACATGTCATGTACATGTACACTACCCAGTGTACTTGTGCATGTAGCCTTGTAGGTAGTGTGTGTAGTGCAGCAAGTCATAGCATACAATCATACTGACTGTACAATCATGTACATGTACAGCATACAGTGTACTAGGATGCAGCAGGGTACAATGTACTGATTTTCTCTATTCTCTTCTTTTCCTTTCCACTTATCCCGTTATCGGCCCTCTTAAGAGTTGTGTATATCACTGTTGAGGCATCCGATGGTAAATAAAGTAAATACTACTACTACTACTGTACAGGCAGAAAATTTCGTCGGTCAATAATTTCGTCCGACTCCAAAGAAAGGAAGTTCGTCCCGTTGAAAATTTCGTCCATGGATCACAAGAGTGCTTTTAAAAGCTGGACAAATCGACATTAGTCCGGCATTTAATTTAGTCCAAAAGCTCCTTGGACAAAAAAGACGAAATTAAATTCCAGACGAATATTTCTGCTTGTACAGTACTAGGAAGTAGCATAGTAAATTAAAATTTAATAAATTTAAAAAAATTACTGTTAGTGTTCCTCACCTCAGTACACAGTACACAGTAGGGTAGAGGTATATAATCATGGTACTAGTACTTTTAGAATAAAGACTGTCAGTAGGGTTGTACATGTCCACTGTGTACCCATTGGCAATGTTGCCTGTCAAGTATCATGTTCAGTGCGGCAGAGACCCTGAGGCCTGCCAGCTTTACCAGACATACCCGTCTGCACTGTGGCTGGCTATCTGCGCTGCTGAGCCAGATGTGGCAGTGCGCAGTGTGGCACCTACTGCCGCAAGTACAGGTTTTCATGAGCCCAGCATGCCGCGCCGCAGCCCTGGGGTTGTGGGCCAGACTGTGCCCTGAAGCTCTACAACGTGCAGTACACTATAGCAGGTGATGCCCCCCCCCCCATGACACCTGCATGTACATGCATGTGTATGTCCAGCTCTTCCAAGGGGGTAGGAAGTATTTTTGTATTAATTTTGTTGTATTGTATTTTATTATTTTACTTGGGCATTTCCCACAGACCCTAAGGTCTTCCTTCTTACAGGGTGCCCAAGAGGAATGGAAGTATTATCTCTACTTGAGCACATGGGAAAGTTTAAAACACCCTTGTGCAATGCCACGGTGGCCTTCAAGAAGTACTGGTATCTCTCATCACACCTATTGTATGTGGTGATCTTGGAAGAAAATGCAGCAATAATTACATGTAGTTCCAGAAATAATTGTGTGAAACTAGTCAAGAAAATTATTGTGTGCATGAACATGTACATTGTTTGCAGGTGTGGTTAAGATAAGACTGCACACAGCAGTTACATTGTACAATCATGTAATTTGCCGAGCAGCCAGCAGTTGAGCGGTTTATGGTTTCCGCAGGCCGATGGCTGATACTGAGCAGCCAGGCAGTCAGGGAGGAAGTGCACACACGGGCCAGTTTTTGTCTTATCACCAGTCACGGTGACCAGCATGATCATCATCCATCCTGATCATGACCATCATCATCCATCATCGGTCTATTGTCTTTTCCTCTCCGGTAGAAGAGTTCCTTTTGTAATCACCGCTGCCAATGGCTCAAAAGTCAAAACTGAGAAAGCTTGAATGATACGGTAACTTGTCCTGGATAGCATGTTCCCTGTTTGGTGAAAGTGGAAGTGAATTGGAAACAATGCTTGGGAGCATTTGGGCAGCCAGCACATCTCCTGTAGATTGATAAAGCCTCTTGTATTGCTGTTGTTTGCACATGTACTTTTTGAGTGACTGTGGATGGCCGGGTGCTTGAGTGGGGCTCCTGGTGCATCTAGATAGCACCATGCTCACTGAGCTGAGCTGTCTGCCCATTCATTGGCTGGTCAATACTGTAGTAGTGCAGCTGTCCTACTAAGAGCGGCACTAAGAGCACCGCCGTAATGAACATCATGTTGATCAGTATCAACCAAGCTATCGCCACCACTGGATAACCTGACAGGTCGGCCGGCCAGCGGATATGGCCAACAGATATGGACTTGTCGGCGGCGGGACTTCCCCCAAGGGTTCTTAAATCTGCCAGGAAGTGGTACACACTAGAAGCTCGATGGTACACTTTGTATATGTCATATGTCAGGAAGCAGTGTGACGGGACACTTTGTACAGGGCCGGCAGTAGTGTAAATACGTTTTGGCTTGTGAGACGGAACTAATGCAGTCATCAAAAGGCTACAGTACATGTACATTGATCTGTGTCCCATAAGTAGTACCAGTCACTGCTGAGATGACCAGGAACTGTGAGCTAATTGGAGCTGTTCTGTGGAACTAAATTTGTAGGATACAGTGAGTTGTTCGTAAGTGGAAAGCCTGCATTCACCCTATACCACGTGGTGCTGTTTGCAAGCTAGACGGGGTGCTTGTACCAATTTGTAGTGCTCCAAGGACCAAGGGCTTGTAGCTGGAGAACATGCTTGCCTGTCGACTTCCCCGATAATTACGATGTGTACTTTTAGTGTCCAGTCTGGATTAGATCAAGCACACAGGCTCTGACCGTAATCATGCACAATTGTAATTATTAGAACAACCCTATCGCTGAGAAGTGCTGCGCCTGCTGTGTTGGTGAGGTCAAGTGCACAAGCTCAAGGATGCATGCTGCCACAGTGTGGCCATGCAGGGGGTCTGGTGAGCTGTGTTGGCTGTGTATACCTCACTAGTGCATGCTTCACCGCATGCTGTATGCCATACAGCATCACTATAATTACACACGCATGCAGGCCATGTGGAATGCACAACTGCATGCCCTGACATGCAGCAGCAGCAGTCCTGGGGTGCATTATTGTTCAATACGTGATTATCTCCTTGGTAAGGGGTGATAATCATTTTAGAATGTTCCATGTACTGCTAAGATTGCTGTGCTGCAGGGGTGCTGCTAGCTAGCAGTGCACACAGTTGTGCATTCCACATAGACTGCATGTACATGTATCTGCGTCGTTCCTGAGTGATTCTGTCACAATCTCAGTATCCGCATCATTACGTTAAACACGGTATGGAAGTGTGATCCCCCATCTGCTTTGAATACCATCCTTGAATGTCCACTGTGCTTGTGTCAGTCAATTTTACAACTCCCCAGAATCCACCACTTGTTGATCTATCATTGTCATAATGTGTATCAGTGTTTTTCAGATTGTACCATGTATGTGCACATTTTTTTTAATGGGTGGTGCTGATGGGGGGGGGGGGGGGGTATAGTATTATGCTTACCAATCTCCGGCTAAGGACATGGCAGTGGAAAATATTTTAATGGGATGTCAGGAGGTATACAGACCATGTATCTCCAGCGGATAACAGCCATACTCGCATAAACATGTGTAATCCCACGTGTCGAAGCTGATTCCTGTGTGTCTTTAATACAATGTACACGTATGCCTGCACAGTTCTAAAACTCGTTCTGCATGCAGTCTTTGTACAGCTGTAGTGTGTGCGACAAGGAGATTGCAACAAATGATACAAAAGTGAAGTTTGGGATTAGATTAACTGCCTGTGTGAATGGCTGAAGCCAAAATTGAAGGTGTCACCAGGACCAGGTTTGGTAGAAGGAGCTTTGAGGGACTGCGATCCCAGTAATCTCTACATGAGGCATTAGGGTTCAAGTAAACAAAACAAACTGCGTATGAATTTGACATGAGCCAGCACATTTTCAACAGTAAAACAATGGGCTCAGAAATACTTAGGAGATGTCAAGCTGTAAATTATTAGTCTTGTACATGCAGGCTACCACCGCATTACTGTTAAAGTGTGCCTCACTGTGCCTGCTTGCCCCCACCATGCACCTGGGCCAGCAGTACCTGTGGCAGCGACAGCTTTAGTACTGGTATTCCTAGTAGTACAGCAGCAGCAATGCCTGCACGCAGTCACTGACACCTGGACGTCTGGCTTTCCGGCCGCCGGTGTCACGGATTCGTGCTAAACCCTAAACCCGTGATCTTGATTACTACTAACTGACTTTGAGCCCGGCTCATTGGAAAGTTGAGTAAGATTTCCGTAGTAAACGCTCTACGTGACGTGTAGCAGGTTGATTGGGGGAAAGCCTTGCATATTGGATACTGTTCTAATATAGCGGATTGTGTTGGTGCCTGTACTGGCAACAAAGAAGAAGTTCTTTGTGTATGTATGTATTATTATTTTATTTATTTTACTAGGGTGTTTCCCACAGACCTACATGTATGTTGCATGGAACAACACCCATCTTCTCAGTATGTCCATCAGATGATTGTATGATCACGTGCAGGTGCAATACATGTATGCTGCAAGGCGCTGCTTGTGAGAACCACTGCGGCAGCTGCGGTGTGGTTCAGCGCTCGCTACCCCTGTATCTGTACTGCTGAGGAGCATCATACTAAGCTTGCCATGTTTCAGGGCATATCACGCTCACTCTCACTTCATTCCTCTTGTTCTACTCTGCTATTTTTTGCCCGTATCTAGCGTCTGGAGAAAGCTGGAAGCGGTTCTTTCTCCGGGGAGTTTCCCTCCAGGGTAAGGGAGCTATGCTTCAGGTGATACTTTGTTTTGTGTTGACTTGCATGGACCAACTGATGCTGATATTATGTATGAGATAGATGCGAGCAGTTGGTGAAAGTCCTGGTTTTATGAGGTGTTAAGGGTTGGTTTGCGCCTCGTACAAACTTGCATGGTGCCAGCTTTTGCCTTGTATTTGGCCAAAATGTCCATATTTGCCAAGCTTGGGGCCACTTCGTGTTGTGCATGCAGGGGTGTTTGGTGAGACTGCCCAGTGGTGACCCTATCAACACCAATAAAGGTGAAATTCACATCTCTAAGTACTGGGGGGTAGGCTAGCCAAGATCAGTGGAGGTTCAAATCTCCATTCAAAGCCTGACTGGCCAGGTTCAGTATTCTGTATTGAGTTGGCTCAAACCTCCGCTAATGGACACCACAATGGCCCTGGATTTGATGGCATGTCTTCAAACGGTTTTGCCGTATGCCTGCTGCTGAGAGAGGAAAGCCGTTTGGAGTAGATGTGTGTGAGTTTGATACAGTACTAGCAGTTACCCTAAATGCTCTCCTAGTTGTTGTCAATTGGTACTTTCTCATCTTGAACACCAGGTTTTGCAGTGAATCGTGCCAGTGCGGATTCATTTCTGATTCACACACAGGCACACCTGGAAAGGGCCGTGGGAGGGTGCGGTAGAGATGTGAAAGAAGCGTCGGTGGAAGTCATAGCTAGGGTGTAGTCCATTTTCGGAGTGATTACAAACTGCCTAACTGAGCTTGAACTCGAGGCACAGCACCCAGACTTTCACTCGGAGATACACCCAAACACCACGTCAAGAATTTGTCCTTAATCACTGGCACCATGCACAAAGCAGACCTGTGTCATAGTTTTATGCACCTGGATTAATAACGCCTGCAGGTTATATAATGTATGGAAGTGCATGCACCAATTGACAGCAAAACGTTGAAGTAATCGGAGAGAATGTAGGAAATGCTGCCAGGAAATAAGAGCCCTTCCATCGGCGTATCACTGTGTGGCCACAGCAAGCATTACTATTGTCTTGCTTTTTGCTAATACAGTCAACTTCTTCTCTTTTTTTTGCCATGGCTGGCTATAATCGCCCTCACCTCCTCCTTGATTGGCCTTGGTCATGAGTGTGTGCGTAATAATAATAACACCTGATAAGACGTACCGACAAGGGAACACCAAAAAATACTTCCTAGGCGAAGTAGTTACTACACGAGCGTTGCAACCAAGTGGGCCAATTTGTCAACTGCAAAATTCCATACTACACAATAGTACGTCTTACACCTTGTACATACTAAGCGGTTTTGACTGTACTGTTGTTGAATATCTTCAATGTCAACCTGGATATTCGGCAGGAGGATACAGGCTGTGAAGCTTAATGATGACGATACCCTTTCCATTCCAATACGGGACTCCCCCACTGAGAGCAGGGCTGTTTGCACTCCCTGCATTGGAACTGTCTGTTCTGTACACAAAATAATGGAGAAGGGGATGGGGGAGGGGGTAACCAAGTTGACTTGATTACATGTATTGGGGTAATCAGCCCCGCCAGAACCGTATTGCGTACTCTATTCACCATACAGGTTGGCTACAATGAGTGCCAGGCACGTTTTGAGGCTATCGTCCAGGCGACTGGCACAATGGCTCCGGGGCTCAAATGGGTGAAGGTAAGCTATAGCATACATGTTCAGCTTAAAAAATAATTTAGTCGTACCTACATGTACATGTATGTCTGTTCCGATGAACTTTGAAAGCCAGCTCATGGCTGACTCACCAGCAATATGCATTTGGAGCAGTTCTCCTTTCATTTCCTCATGTTGTACACAGTATACCCTATATCTGAACTTAACCTGCCTGATCATCCATTATTCCTTGAGGAGATTGTACCTTCAGGCTAGAGATGCATTTACCATGACAGCAATGACTAGATTTGTGCGCAGCATACATAATGCATGCGGCTACCACATGCCTGCTTGCTTCAGTAGTGCGGTCAAGTGTACTGGCACATTGAACCATCCAGATTCCCGTATCCAAATACCCCGGCATCTCTCAGCAAATGTAACCAGCTAGCACGGAGTCAAAGGGTACAGGGAGATGGCCTGAAATCATGGTCTCCACCACGCATAGCAGCGTCCTCCAAGTGTAGACCAAGTTAGTGTGCTTCATCCGCACATGTGAGCTCAAGCGAATTGACTTGGAGCACCTGCTTCAACTGAAGTGAATTGGCGTTCTTTTCTCTTGGCATGCGGTTATGGGTTGGCAATATACCCAACATTTCTGCTGTTGGTATGCTACGAGCCAGTCTACTTCCGTAAGACAACCATGAGATATGCCATGGATACTATATACGTAAAAAAGAAGAGACGGGTGGAAGTGTTGTGATTCGAGGGACTTCGTATCTGAAAATCGCCTTTCTTGTGCGTGAAACTCGGAATCAAAGCACCTTTCTCCCTCGGAATCACAGCACTTTTCTCCCTCCTCTTCTTGCTGTAAGTAGCTCTGCCTTGGGCATCAAGCACTCTGATTGGACAGCATGGAACCTTTCTGTTTTGACGATGGACTTATGTTGCCGCTGATATAGCACAGTATTCTAGCATGCCAGGATTGAATATAGTGGCATAGCTGACATGCGGCAAGTTATTTTGCTTGCTTAGGGCTGCAGTGTTGTTTACAAGTTGCACTGTGCATTAATACCGTGATGGGCAAAGAGCTATGCATAGAGATTAGTTGAGGCTGTTTGCAAGTAACGTTACATGCGGAACATTGGTATCAAGTTTTTTGTCCTTAACTGACATCATGCATGCGACTTCTGAGAGTACCCGTACACCACCAAACTACCACTTAATACTGTGTATACCGTGTGGTTGTTTGGCTGAAGTAGCCTAAGGGATCTCTGGATATAGCTATGATTTCCATTCTCAGTTGAACCCTACTAAAAAAGGCTCCGACTGTCTCGTGGCAGCTGAATGCCAGATGCACAGTGGGAATTGTTCATTTCCATATCAACAAAAACATTCGTGTGAGTTTCGGTTAGGCCGAGTTTTCTACATGCATAGGATTGCCACCATCCTACTACAGGAGATCACAGGTCTGTGGGGACTGCCCTAGAGAAACATGAATAAAATAATATGAGTAAATAATAATAATAGTACCCTTGATGGATCGAGGTGCACATGAAGCACCTGAAGTGGTGGCAGGTGAGTAGATCAGACACGCCGGCAGCAAGAGGTCAAAGACCGGATCCCATTCGCTGCATCCATGTTTCCCTCGTGCCAGGCCACGAGTTCCCAATTAGTTGTGGGCCTCAGCACGGCTGGAATAATCCTTCCACTTCCAAGCAGGACTTGAACATGTTACCCTCTATTTCTCAACCATGGTCTTATACCATCCACTATGCCTATCTGCATAACAATGTGAGACAGTCATAATAATGCACAGTGTACAGGCTTCGGTATGAAGCTTTAAAATTAGAATTAAAAGTCACAACATGTTTCTCTTGGATCCCCTCTCTTATGTAAAAGGCTCTGTGCCTTGCGCATCGAGCACTCTTCAGGCAGTTGGCTAATCATTTTAATCATTTGGTACACAATAATACACTGGTGACAAGTGAAATCCAACTTCATTGGTATACCAGCTCAATGGGCTGCGTAGCCCTCACACTGCGAGCGATAGGATCGTGAAGTGAATGAGAGTCTCCTGTACTCACGGAGGTTGGATTTCATGTACCACCACTGGCGATGCAGATGCAGAACATGACTTGCACTCTTTCCTTTGCAGTGAAAGCGACCGACCATTTACAGAGTGGCATAACATGTACGATTTCTGTGACTTGAGAATAATTGCTTGAAGTGTGTGAATGCTGTAGAACAACTTTTCACTAGCGACAACTTTCATGAGGAACAATGTTATGTTCAGCTTCTGTGGGGATCTCTTGATAAAGGGGTATTCCAGCACGTAGGGTATTAAGTAAGCTCTGGTTTTGTATGAATAGAGAGAAAGGAAGCTATTGCACATTAGTTGTACAACTTGTATCAATTTTCAATGTCCAGACCTGCTAGCCGTTTGGATCTCTTTTCTCCTCCGTGGAACCCCCAGTGACTAGAAAATCTGATCACCATGAATCAGTGTACTGAATCGTATACAATACTGCCGGGCGCCAAAGAACAGAGCGCCGAAGAAAGACCAGGCTAGAAGTTCACCAAAAACACGGCACACCAATGTATACACGGTGACTCAACTGTGCATAGACTGTATTGCATGAAAAATTAATAAGAACGGTCTAGGCTAGGACTAGTAGGAGGCTGGCCGACAGTACTGTAGCATCAGCTTGAAGCACAAACATCTTTAAAAAATGTAAGACTACTTCTAAATGTGACTATTTTGAAAATAGAGCGTGTTTGTGCTGCTAGTAAAATGCAAAATGTTACAAACGCCATCATGAGCATAGACCAGGCATGGTAGCCATGGCAACTGTTACCGGCAATGCCTTACATGGCAAACTGCAGCTCTCGGTACCACGGGGCGTAGCGTGAGCGCTGGCTGGTCGGTGTGCCGTGTCAGGCTGCAAGTCTGCATTGGCAGTACCGCTGCCAGTGTAACCAAGAACAGAGTGTCGGCGATAGTATAATGTCGACATCATGACATCGGCTATAATGAATCTGGTGGCCTATCCTTAACACTACGTCTGGTTTCAGACTATGGTAGATATATGCTTGTCACTCGGGAGATACTCGGCTGCACTCGCGCTGGACTGCAGTTTGTCGAGCGGGAGTTCTACTCCACATTGGCCTTCAGTCGCGGCGGCATCGCTGTCCCGTGCCAGCTGCCAGAGCTTATGGGAATCACCATCAGCGGTCACCGTGCGCTCGTTCTCATCTGAGTAGTGTGTTGTGCGGGTACGGATGATCGTGGCCGCTGAGTCAGCGGATGCATTGCTGCTTGGTGGCGACTCAGTGACGCTCACAGTATTGTCCTCCAGACCTTCCGAGTTGCACATGTGCAGCTCACTGTCGCATTGTTGTTGCTTTGTTTGTCTCTTGAATCCGACTGGGCATTGTTCAGTGGTTGTTTTCAATGGGCAATTGGCTGGGTTAGTTACGACATTTGAACCGACGTAATTGAAGGTCTCGTTTGAAGCACAGCTCGTCCGCGGGGTCCGCATGCGAGGACCGTCCGTAGCCGAAGCCTCGGTCGATGCTACACTCCGCTGCTCAGCCTTGGCCTGCTGCCGCTCGATATGGATGAGTAGAAGTGTGAAGCGCTTTGCGTCGGCGGTCAGCTGGTCCTCCCTGCGCAGCTTTGTTGGAGGGGTCTTGCTATTGGAGAACATGAGCTTGCCGAAGACGGGCCTCATCACGACCAGCAGCGGGACGAACAAGGCGGTTGTGTTCACGGAGTCGGTCAGCTCGCCAACATGAATTAGCACCAAGTGTGCCGAGGTAATCATGAGCAGAACGATGCCGAAGTGGAGGAGGGCTTTGAGGGCAAACTTCTTGCAGCGCACAGCGATGGTCTCCACCAGGCGCGCGTGGATGGTCCTGAATGTGTTCTCTGAAATCATAACCGGAGGTTTGCGTACCACACCGTGTCGCGCACACAGCAAGAAGAACACCCTGGCCCTCATCCGGTCCACTTGAATGATGAAGCTCTTCATCGATGCTTCGGCCAGCGATATTGCTTCGCTGATTGCACGGCGCTCCTCCGAGGAAACGTTGCCATCCGGTGCGATGGTGGGCGTGATGTAACGCTCAAATTGCCGCAAGCCATTGTTGATTTCAAAGACGTGTCGCTGTCGACCATCCGTGTCGGAGGTTTCCATTGGCGCTGGCATTGCCTGGACCATCTTCCTCAAGCCTTTCTTTCCTGTTGGGCCACGTGGAACCAAGATGTGCTGGTCGCCTAGGAGATACGCCTCGCTATCATTCTCCGCTGAGTACGAGGGCGACGATTTCTTTGAGCCGCGAGAGTCGGCTAGGCCTTCTCTCCACAGCTCCAGGCAATACTCATCCATGGTGTAGTTCTGCAGCTCGAAGGAGGCCCGGTCCACGGCTCGCTTGCACAAGGCAATGTCCGGATTGAGCGTCACGTTGACCTTGCCGATATGCAGGACATCGAAAAGGAGAACCTTCGCCATGGCCAATATGCCCAACATGTAGTATCCGTAGTTGATTGCGGCACCGATCAAAAGAAAGCTCAGCGTGACAAGAATATTCAGAATGAATGTCGGCAGGACAAAGGCGGCGCCACCAATGAGTACGAAGGCAATGAGGTGCTTTTTCTTCTTGTCATGTGGTCCTCCCTTGAATCCGGAGCTGTCCATAAAGTACAGGTAGAACGCAATCGACAGTACCAGCAGAACTACAAACGCCACGTTGGTACCGATTGTGAACGAACTCACGCCGGACGAGTGACAGTCCGCCAGCGGCTGCTCTAGAGTGTCGAAGGACTGCACGTAAACAAGCGGTCCGCCGACGTTAAACACGACGGCGACGATCAGGAACAGCACCAGTGGAACAACGACGGACAGGCGATAGAACAGGTTCCACTTGCTGGTCATTGCCAGGTGCATCACATTCAGGTATTGCGGGTAGGTGCCGTCGAACTTTGGTAGAAAGTTCTCGTAATTGGCAACGCCGTCGTCAGCGTAGTCTGCCAGTAGTATCTCCTTGTTGGACAGAGCCTCGGCCGTCTTGAATGTAAACTTGACAAATCCCAGGAGGACAATGAGGTATGCTATTGCGATGCTGGCGTACCCCACGTCCGTCCAGAACACATCCTCCCAGTTCGACTCTTTCGTGATCAGCTCCCAACGGCTGCACACGGTGAAGTTGAACGACTCTGCGCTGGTGTAGTTGTAGTCTTCCGGCAAGTAGGCGTTGTCGCATTTCAGATACTGGTGAGTGGCACCTTGTGGATAGGGCCACGAAAGCCCGCTTGCCTTGTCGCTCGGTGAGCGCACGTAGATGTGGCCGCTCAGGTGCTTATTCTCTCCCGTCACGCGTCTCCAGGCCCGCGTCAGGGTCTCGTTGACCAGGCGCACCAGGAACGCCAGACGCTGCTGGGTCGTACTGGCCTCCCAGCACAAACGCTTGCTCTCGCCTGCCCCCAAGGAGACATTCAGGGTCTGATTCTGATCGGCTTTCCACGCTACATGTGTGTTGAGCAGTTCCAGGGAGCCGGTGGGGGCCATGATCTTCAGGAACGATTCCGTATAGTGCTCCGTTTTACCGTACACGAATGCCAGAGATAGGGTTTCGTTGTCGTCCGCTGACTTCAGTGTATGCACTGGTTGATGACCTTCGCCTGGGCAGTACCCAGGAGCGTAGGTTTCGTTTTCGATGTGCAGTACACAGTAAAGTCGCACTACATTGATTCCTGGATTGGCCAGTTTTCGACCCAGCGAGACAAGGGCGGCTAGTTGCACGTCCTTGTCATCGCTGTGAGCGTCGATGTTCTCAAAGTGCAGTGGGTTTACTCCGCCACAAACACTAGGTACCTCGGCGACGCACTCCACCAGTGACGGATACACCAATGCCACTGTCAAAAACACGATTACAGCCGAGTAAGGAAGCGAGACTGAGCCAGTGCGCCGAGAGGTCACCCTCGTGTGATCGGTTCTGCACCTCCGTCCGGCCACAGCCCGCACCTTGGACGAGGCTGATCCGCTTCCTGCAGAATCACGCGACGAGTCCGCCATTGTCACCCTGGCAGGACTAACCGCCTCCAGAGTCCGCGCTAGTATAACGTCCAGTTCTGGCTATGTCACTGAGACATGAAGACTGCAAGTAGGTTAGCAGGGCTGCAAGCAGAAGCCTGAGAAGGCACTGGTTGTAGAGCGGAAGACAACAGTTGAGTTCTTCAAGCGGACTTCACGAAACGGGACTTCGAAGGTAAGTTAGTTCTGACGATAATTTCTGCAAACACTCTCTTTTGTTTGCGTTCACCTGCCTGGCATGATTCACCCATCACCTGGGCTGCGCGATGTTGACCTGTGTTTCGAATAGTATTCTCGCTCATCTTTACTACCTGCAGAACATAGAGGACCTTACTATTGCGTCGCTACACCGCAAAGGAGAAGGGCCCCTAGCTACGCAGGCTACGGCTGGACAAAGCATGCCCAACTGAGCTACGAGTACGATGCTGACTAAAGCTACCTGGGTCTACATTGACAGGTCTTTGGCTGTCCACAAGTCATGTCCTGGGTTTATTTTGGTGAGCAGTCGACTCGCGCGGACGTACCTGCTGCATTCTGTTGCATTCTGAACACGGCGAGCCGAATAATCTCGTCGTAGTCCGCGCGGTAGAAATGGAATGGAGCGGATAATTTCGTGTTGTCGTCGCAAAACTCGACGCGAGCGGGGTAATACTGAAAATTGCATCTCGTTGTTCCCGCTTCTCTCCTAGTTCCTGGGATCTTCAGCCAGAGCATATCTGTGTTTACAGCGATGCAATTCTATTTTCGTAATGATGCGAGCTGAGATTTACTGCACCACAAGACCCAGCCGCACTTCGTGACGGCAGCCCGGACAAGGACCACGTACTGTGTTGATTGCGGACAACAGTGATCAAAAAAAGTAACCAGGCTTTTGGAAATAGGCAACCTTATTATGAAGAAATTTCAACACGGCAGTGAAATACGGCTTCACTGTGTTCGAGATTGGTCACAACAGAGAGGATCGCATACCGCGCGGTCGAAGCGGATGGCTACGTCGATCCTCCTTCTCCTTCCGTACTCGGAATTGGCTAGTCTTTTGCTTGAGCGTTCCTTTCTACTTCTTTGGACTTTGGTATCATGCGGACGCTTGGAAGCGGTCAAATACGTCATTACAATCTGAACAGATTGAAAAACGAACAAAAACAAAACTGATTGAATGGCGACTTCTAAAAAAAGTTTAAGAAAATTAATACATGTAGACCTTTCCGACGGACATTATCATTACTTGTATGTTACACAGTGGGTTGGTCTAAGACCATGATTGAGAAACGAGAGGTAGATCTACCTGGCATGAGTAAAACATGGATGTGGCAAATGGGATTTAGGCCTTTGGCCTCTGGTTGGTGGATCTGATCTATCCTCCCCCACCGTTTAGGAGCCGCATCTGACGCCTGATCATGGAGTGGTGGCGTCCCACGGAAGCGGAAAGGTGGATCTTGACCAGGGAGTTGTACGACTCCTTGTTCTTGACCTGCCCGGTACTCGAACCCGTCGAATTTTTTTACACAGAATCTAGAGGTGTTTTGCTTCCTCGGACGTAGGACATATTCTAGGGCCGGATTACCATACATTACAATGATTGTAGGGGACCTATCTTTGCAAACCGGTTACGCAGAATGCTCTGATAGGCCGCTACAGCAGTTCCATGAACTAGGCAACATCCTCTTCCATTGTGATACCAAGGCGGTTTAATAGCTCAGCTGCTGTGGGATGGGATAGGATGAAAATGAACTTAGTACATTGCATGCTGGCCGTGAGTGCAACTTGGGATAGTCTGGAAATTACCCAAAGTCTGTAACAGTTGGCTCAACGCCTCCCCTCACAGCCACACTTTCTAGATGTCTCAGTCATGTGCTTGTGCTTCGAAGCAGAATGTGTGTTTTTTGAGTACTGACAAAAATGGAAACATTTTGGTGTGCTTGGAGCAGGTGCACACCAGAAAAGATGGATCTTTGTGGTCAATCCTCCCACCACACACACACACACACACACACACACCCACACACACACACACACACACACACACACACACACACACACACACACACACACACACACACACACACACACACACACACACACACATGTGCATACACACACACGTGCAAATACACATGCACACACACACGTGCACACACACGTGCACACACACATGCACACACACACACACACACACACACACACACACACACACACACGCACAACACGCACACACAAGTCTACGCTATGAGCGTGGCGGCTAGACTGAATGGCCGCACTATCCCACAAGGTGATTACGGTGCGTCATCTGAGATGGAATGAGACAGGCAATGACTGGCCTCATTTCGGCAGATCATCTCTGGTATGGGATGTTTTAATTAAAGAAAAAACCCTCTACCATCCTCAACTCAAGTGGTCTGCGGCAAATTTCAAATTTGGATTATCTCTATCTGAAGTGGCTGCAGTAGAGCTTGCGCACTTTATCTCTTTCCATTAATGCGAATGATGAATTCTGCTGTGCTGTTTTGTGTAGGAAACATACGATGCCTCGATCCAGGTACTTCTGGAGGGCTGCAAGGCAAAGCTGGAGCAGGGCAGAGAGATCCACAGGCTGGCAAGCCATGACACTACCATGCGGTAGGTCTTGGCCATCAGTTGTGATTATCCTAGTGCTGTCCGGATATTGAGACGTTTGATAGCTTAACCCCCACCCATCCACCACACACACACACACACACACACACACACACACACACACACACACACACACACACACACACACACACACACACACACACACACACACACACACACACACACACACGTTCTCCATGCTGATCTTGAATATCCATGGGAGGTGTGATACATGTGCTGCTACATGATGTGTACGAAATGCTGCAGCCACGCCGCGTGTCCAAAATTGTGGACTTGCCGGTTCTGCCTTTTGAGCACTCCCTACCTCCCCCCCCCCCCCCCCCTTCCTCCCACACACACACAATCTCACTCCTGCCTCGTGCACTTTCATGCGCTACCGCATGCATGTTTGCATTCATGTGTGTGTTTCTGGTTTGCCCAGTCTACTTAGGATGAGAGAGCAGGAACTGAAAGAACGGATTGCAATTGTGCAGAATGACACGGAGAGGTATGCTAAATGTCCTCAATGCAACTCGTGTCAACTTCTGGCTGTGTTCTTCTGGGCCTCCGCTTGTCATGGAGGCTGCTTTGAATTTGATGTAGTAGAACACTCTTTAGGAATGGGTTTGCTCCCAGACTGGAGCTCGCGCTATTCCGCTGACTTGACTTGACACTTGACTGACTCACAAGTCAAGTCGGCGAAATAGCGCGAGCTCCAGTGTGGGAGCAAACTCACTCCTAAACCCACTCCTAAAAAATCATCGCCGACGTCGCAACCACAATTTAAAAACACTCTTGTGGCACTTTTTTGGATATGCTTGTATGGGAAACCTGACAGCTTCGGACCCTTGGGTACTTGGACCTGGTTGAAATAAAGACACTGGGTCTCTTGTGACCCGGTTGGGAGTATTCGTGTCATATCAAGTACATTTTTTGTACTTCAACGGGGTAGAGGCAGGCAGGCATAGTGGGATGGTCTAAGACCATGATTGAGAAACAGAGGGTACCAGGTTCAAGTCCTTTTTGGAAGCGAAAGGATTTTTTCCAGCTGTGCTGCGACCCACAGTTAAGTGGGAACTCGTGGCCTGGCACGAGGGAAGCATGGTTTCAGCGAATGTGATTTTCGGTCTTTGACCACTTTGTAGTGGGTCTCATCTACTCACCTCCCACCGCTGTAGGAGCTGTGTTTGCGCCTTGATCCACGGAGGGTGGTGGCGTCCCTACGGATGCTAAAGACTCGTCCTCCAGCCGAGTCTAAACGCGAACCGGGAATTATTATTAATGAATGGGGTATACCGTATACACTGACAGGCTGCAGGCGCGGGGCAGAGTGCCCAGTGCCTATTGTTCATACATGTGCATCAGGGAGTTGTGCAATATTCACGACTCCCTGATGCACATGCAGTAGCCGTACTTGAACGCTATGTAGCCGGCTGTGACCCAGTTGCAAGAGTTGCACCAGGTGCGCGTGTACCCGGTTGGTTTGAAACCCTTGGGCAGAGAGGGAATATACATATTGCCGGTTGAGTATCTGTTCTACGGCTCGGATTACATTTTCTGCATGATTTGTTATGATTCTTTGCTGTCCAGACTGCAAAAGAAGCTGGACCAGACAAGGTATGTATTTATGTTAAGAGTAAGATCAAGAGTCCATAAACAAGAGTATGCAACTGTGATCTCTTTTCTATGGGCCAGATGCGAGGCGCGCTGCCTTCATTATATCATTGAGCTGCAATCCGCGCCCTGCGGAAAATCAAACGCCGCACTCGCTGTGCACCCTAGTCCTACAAAAGCACATTGTGTTAATTTATTTGAAATGAAATGATCTAGAGAAGCGTTACACGCACGTGCACACACACGCGCGCACGCTCGCACACAGGCATGTCGTAGCTCGTGTGAAGGAACGTCAGACTTCATGACTTTCAGCATCCAAGATATCTCGATCACAGCGGAGTCACAGCCAACACAAGCTTCGTATTCTATTCCTTTTGTATCTCGATATACCTTGTTTTCCATAGTTTTTCTTGTGATGCACTGCATTTCAAGGTACTGTAAGTGTACAAATTTTCGTCCCATTCAAATTTCGGCCTCCGAAGGCTAAAACCCATTTTGGCCGCATCAAATTTTCGGCCTGTACTGCTGCTGCCTGTATACACTGTCACACTGAACCTTGCACAACAAATTTTCGGCCAAGCACGACCAGGCCAAAAGTGGCCTAAAAATCAAGATGCGCCGAATATTTGTTGACTTACAGAACCGGCATGCAGCTGTACATGTCTTCTGTGCTCTGTGTTTGTTCAGGGAGAAAACTGAGCAGAAAAAACTGGACCTACGTAGTAAGTACGGTGCACCAAAGTAACACTTTTGGTTTGGGTTACTGGTTTGTTTAGTTTTTGATATAATTTCAGTTCGTTGCCTGAACAGTACGATGTACAACTTCAAAGCGAGTGAGTGCAGTGGATTGATAGAAAGCAGATCTTTACTGTAGAATTAGGAATAGGAACTGTCACTTCTATTTAATCAAAGTTCGAAGCGTATACATACGTATCTGTGCCAACTACAGAATGTGTCCACACAGAAGCAAAGCGTATTCAGCGATCAGCCATTAATGAGTCGGAGCGTCGTATCCTTCTGCAAGCCCTGCCTGGAGACAGCAGCTTTGATGTCAAATACCTGCAAAAGAAGGTACCGCGTGTGGGTTTGGGTGGCGGGGAAGTGCATGTGTGTGTGCATGTATGTGTGTTTGTGTGTGCGTGCATGTGTGTGTGTGTGTGTGTGTGTGTGTGTGTGTGTGTGTGTGTGTGTGTGTGCATGCACGCACGTGTGCGTGCGTGTATGCACACTTTCGCGGCTGCATGCATGTGTGTGTGTGTGTGTGTGTGTGTGTGTGTGTGTGTGTGTGTGTGTGTGTGTGTTTGTGTTTATCATATAATTAGTGTTTTCGCCGAAGTTTTGCCGCGCCAATCGAAAATTTGTATGTACAGTACAGTACAAGTCATCCTTCTTTTCAAAGTCTGAAACTCGGATCGCTAAGATATTTCGTCGTGAATTGGTCCAGATTTAGAAAACGCTAAAACTTTTACCCGCTAAACTTAGCCGTTCTACAGTACATTTGAACATGAACCTTAGTTATTAAAGGGTAACTTCGCCCTAAAGTGAAAACTTCACAACCTGAAGCAAAAAAATGCACTAACTCCAATAGTGGAGGTCCCAGGTTGATTGGAGCAGCCGTTCCCGAGTTATGACCGCTTGAAGTGTTCACCAAGTTTGGTGACATCATGGTGACTTCATTCACTTGTCCAGAATAGGCCAGATCTGTTACGTCAGAGAGATAGAATTTGTATGGGAGTAGCTGGGGAAATATAGCAGTGAAGACCATCACGAGAGAACGTTCTTAGAGAAAACACACCGTTCCAGTGAAGACGCGTGTGTATACAAATGCATGGACATACTGACTATGAATATTCAGGCGCGTCGCACCGACTTTGGAGGTGGGGTGGCCATGAAAGGGGGGGGGGGGGTCCGGGGCTCTCCCGCGGAATTTTTTTAAACTCCAGCCAATTGCAAGCATTTCCGGGCATTTGGTGCCATTTCAGTGTAACTACAAGTACAAGGGAAGACTTTTTGTGATTCTGCAACAAATGAAGAAGACGCTACGATCGGGGACAAGAATTCTTCATTACCCTCCCCCTGGAAAAAATTTCAAAAATTGAAGCCAATTGCAAGCTTTTCCAGGCAGTTGGTGCCATTTCAGGGTAACTGCAATGAAAGACTTTTTGATTCTGCAACAAACCGCGATCGGGGACAAGGATTCTTCTTCATTATTTGCCACGTTTGAGCTGAGCTGTGATCATCGCGTTTTGTTGCAGTGTGCTAAAAAAAACGGCCGAAAAGTGGGGTGGCCTCAGCCGCCCCAGCCTCCCCGGCTGTGACCTTTGATGTTGTACTATTCAATGAGATCATCTCAAATAGCAGTAAGTTATTTTTGCTCTCCATTGTCCCAAAGAAGTCGGATGTTCCATTCAAACTTTGGTATGGGACATGTGGCGCCCGACTGGTATCCCGACTGGAAAAAATCCGGCAAGAAGTTCACTGTTGTAGATGAACAAGAAAGAAATTGTTTATTTCCCATCTACCATAGTCATCTGGCAAGAACCTGTACATCACAAAAAGGTGAATGATCTGGGATGTGCTGTTTCCTCCGGGAATGGTCTCCAAACGGCTTCCCCACTGTTGTGTGTGTGTGTTTGGCTTGGCGATGTAGCTCTTCTGTTCTCTTGGGTGCTGCTCTCTCTCTCTCTGTTTCACTGATATACTCCTCCTGACACATGACACATGGCAACGAGTAGACAACATCCTTGGTCAATACAACCTGGCGCATGGGGAGACTAGGCATGTGGTCCTTGGACAAACCATAGAATGTTGCCATGCGTGACTTATGAGGCTAAAGCACGCAAGTGAGTGATGGCGGGTTTTCCTCCTGTTATATCTCCCGCTATACCTCCCAACGGTTTTAATTTTTTTACTGATTACCACAGAATCATAAGATGCTGCACAGCGGGAGCAGCGGCATATTGGATGGAAGTGGGGGTGGGGCAAAAGTAACTCCTTCGACCAAAGGTCTCGGATTCATCGTTACTCATGTGCGCCGATACATAGGAGAAAAGAACATGTGCATCCAAGAGGGAAGCACTGGCTTTGCAAACGATAATGGGGAGAATTTGAGATTGAGATAGGACATAACAATAGTAAAAGCAGTGCACCATGGAATTGGGAAGATGGAGAGAACTGCGGTCAGTATATTAGGCTGGTGTGTTGGCTGCGATGGAGAGATCATAACCTGTCTGTGGCCCACTCCCACTAGCTGCGCCGCAAGTCGTCCTTGACATTTTTCTTGAAGGTGTGCATGTCTCTGCGAGAATGGGTCAAGGTCTTCCACAGTGATATTGATTCTCTCATAATCGACTCTGTTGCAGAGCATCTCGACTGCTTCTTTATTCTCACATCGCTAACTGGCTGTGGTCATGATGGCAAATCCCTTGCTTTTATCCCAAGGCTTCACAGCAATGCTCCTGGTAATGATTCTGTTTTTTGACGAATGTCAAGTATCCTGCATACCTTGCCTTCCCAGTTAGGCCAGTGTGAAGACACACACTCCAACCCACATCTTCCGCCCAGCTGCATGGCTTGACACGTACTGTGAAAATACTGATTGATCAGAGTGTTGGCACCTCACTATCATGATAAGGTGTCATCAAAATGGATAATTTGGCTAACATTTTCCAAAAGAATTTCTTTAGGAAAGGCCCCTGGAGCAGACCCTCTTCTGTTTGCCCTATCAGCAAAGCCAGGCCATGCAACATGGCTTCGAATGGCCCTGGACAATTGCAATTTGTTCCTGTTGTGTCTGTATCCATGTCGAAGCTGGCGGTGCTGAAAAAGGAAATGGCTGAACTCCAAGAAGCTGCCCATCAGACGTAAGAGATCAGGAGGATTACTGAAATATTTAAGTTAGTTAATACTTGCTACACCAGTTGTGTGTGGGTATGTGCGGTGACCGGGTGGCATAGCCGGAAGGGTTTGGGTGGGGGTTTCCAGATGGGGTCCGGGGATGTCCCCCGGCGTGGGTCAAGGGGCGGAGCCCCTTGCGGGGGTGGGCGGGTGCAGAGCCCCCGTGCAAAGTTAAGGGAGTCTTCAAATTCCAAGCTCCTGACAGGCCCAATCTAGGACTTGACACTACAAGTTACTGCTGAAGTATTGTTGTATCGTGGTTCATTCACATCTAAGAAAGTTGTATGAAAAACGCAACATGAAAGAACTTTCACAATGACCACAGTTGTCCAGCAAATTAATGGCACGAAGCACTCGCGAAGTAACATAGTTTCACACCTCGCTCAAGTGCATATGCGTGCAGTGCAGCCTACATTTGTACGTCCGGTGACTGCACATGCATATGCAGCATGCACTCGGGAGAGTTTCACTGTAGAGTAGAACCCGGGTTAAAGGTCCACCTAACTCTGCGCGGACATAGCTGGACTCAGTTGGACAGGGATGGGCAAAAAGGTGTGCAAAACGACTTTTTGTGAGTAGATGGACCCCGGAAAAATGGTTTGGAGCGAAAAGAGTTACGGCTTCCTCGGAAACTGACGGGGCACCCCCCCCCCCCATCGGGCCGGAAATTAAATCCCGGTAGAAGGATCGCCCGCACAGTATACATGCCAAGTGCCCCCCCCCCCCCCCCGGGCTCCAAAGGATCACCCTCACAATGTACGTGCCATTAGCCCCCCCCCCCCCCCCCCGGGCTCCGATCCCTAATCCGGTGTGACCCTTAACCCGGGTTCTACTCTAGTTGTCAAAGGTATCGTCAGCGGCACTGCAACCCCGGAGGGGGTTTCCGGGCAACCTGGAAATACTGCCGGCTACGAGCCTGCTACGTGTGTGAATATGCATTTACACGTGTGTGCACAATTACATGTGTAAGAATGAGTGCTGTGTGTGTGTGTGTGTGTGTGTGTGTGTGTGTGTGTGTGTGTGTGTGTGTGTGTGCATGTATGTGTGCATGTATGTGTGTATGTGTGTATGTATGTATGTATGTATGTATGTATGTATGTATGTACCTGCATATAGCTGCCTGCGTGCATGTGTGTGTGCATTTGTCTGTGCATGCATGTGGAGTTGACAACTGTTCACCCTGGGCGAGGTCCTCATTTGTCAATTTCTTTCTGACTATTGGATTCATGCAGAATGATGCCGAAGGAACGAGGCAAGCCGCTTGAAGAAGAGATAAAGCGCCTTGAGGTATATTATTCTGATCACCGGTGCTTGCTGAAAGTTCGCACAAACGTTGCACAATGGTCACAGAATGCTTGTCACATGACACTGATTGACTGATTAGTCACAGTGTGCTTGCTTCTTACAGTTTGTTTCTAGCAGTTGAAGATGAACTCTATCCAGGGAATTGGCTTCCCTGCTGATGCGTAAATTCACTCTTACCAAATCTCGGGCGTTCCTTTCAAATATTCCAAACCGTATCATATTTTTGGCATTGGTTCCCTAGCTTTGTGACCTACAATACACTAGTAGTGCATGATCCAAATTTTCAACAGCATTGTGAAAGTTCTCCAACACATTAACTGGATGACTCCCAGAATGTTTTTGGAATTCCTGTATAATTATGAAGGTGCTTGGATGGAAGGAATTTCATTGTATGATATGAATGGTGCCTGTCAATGAATGGGCAACACTGTCACTGTAATCGCTTAGTTAGAAGCCGGTTTTGGATACAATCCCACCACCACTGCAAGCGCAGTTCGAGAAATAACGCCCCACTTGAACACAAGCCTTCTCATTCTGGAACCAATGTTGTTTAAAAAAAAGTTAATTGAAGCCCTACCCCAACCCGGCGTCTAATCCAGTGAGTATAGTAAATTGTTATTCATGTGTCCCGTTTCCAGCAGTAGTCTTGCAGAATGACATTGTACTCAAGTACTTCTTTGCCCCTACTCCCATGCACAGCTCGAGGAGAGACTTCCACTGTCAGATGAGGAGAGCAGGCGAAGGCGAGAAGAGAAACTTTTAAACGTTGCATTAGTGGTGAGTTTGTGACTCGGCGATGATTGGTTAACCTCTGCCCGTTGGCAAACAGATACCGGTGATATGTGAATGCGTTTGCGTCTTCAAATGATGATTGACTGAAGGGATACATATCCACCCCGGTAATTCGTACAAATCCCCCACCCCGGCGCAAGAATAGGCTCTCACCGAGGCGTATGTACTCAACATCACCAATAATTATATCAGGGGCGTGCTCGGCCCCCCAACTAGGGGGGTGCACGGGAGCCGAGGGGAGCCCCCCCCCCCCCCGGCAATTTTCTGCAATTTGCTTGCAACCTTTCTTGAATTTTAGAGCATATTTGCATACATTATAATTGCAATTACCCAGATTGAAAATTTTTGGGGGGTGCACGTGCCCCCCGTGCTCATCGCCGAGCACGCGCCTGTATATACTCGTTATTCAAACGGGAGAGAGTTGTGGTTGCTCGTGATAGTGCTCAATACACCAAGGTGCAGAGCCTAGTACACACACTTGAGAGGAATCAAAAGCGTTTCTGCTGTAACACTGAGTTTCACGGTTTTAACCGATCATCAGACAGCAACTTGACTACAATTTTCAGAAGATATGATTGATATAGGCTGCATGCTTGATAACCACCACGGATTCAAGACCAGAAAGTGTCCATCGCGGGTGGAAGACATGAACCAGTTCGAGGTTGATCTGTGGTCTATGGTAGAAACCGTGAAGTTCCGCAGAGTGAATGACGAACTCCAAAACAAACTGAGAGACAACCTGTCCAGGATCCGAGCCTCCAAGGACGTCCTCGTCTCAGCTGACAAGACCAGGAATGTGTATGAAGTCAGATTAGCCCAATATGAGAAACTATTGAATGACAATGTAACGAAGCACTACAAGCATGCCTCACGCCACGCCTGCAAAGCAATCAATAACAAAGCAAAGGAGATTCCGGAAGACCTCCATATTGCAGAGAGAGCTGAAATATTGGCGCAGAAGGATGCATATGTGAAGTTGAAAGATCACAAAGAAAATTTCCAGCAGAGCCTACCATGCCGACTGATAAACCCCTCCAAAAGCGAAATCGGAAGAGTCAGCAAAACGATACTATCGGGAATTGTCCGAGATGTAAGGGGAGCGTTGTCAATCAACTCCTGAAAGAATACAGCCGCAGAGATTGACTGGTTCCAAGCCATCGAGAGGAAGCCGGACTGTGCATTTGTCTGTTTCGATATTGTGGATAATTATCCGTCCATTTCGGAAGATCTTCTTTTGCGCGCTATCGAGTTTGCTGAACAGTACACCAGTATTAGCAAACAACACAAAGGCATCATCCTGCATTCGCGAAAGTCGCTATTTTTCAGTGGAGACGATACACTGTACTTGGATGAAGAAGAACGGAAGAGGACTATTCGACGTGACAATGAGATTTCGACGGTGCCGAAGTATGCGAGCTAGTTGGGACGTATGCGCTGTCCAAGATTGCACACGAAATCAACAGCAGGGACGTCGGACTGTACCGTGATGACGGTCTAGCAGTACTACGAGACGTGGCAGGCAGCAAAGCAGACCGAATGAGGAAGACAGTCTGCAAGATATTCAACAACCTCGGACTACGACTAACCATCGACACCGTGATGAAGGCTGTGAATGTTCTGGACGTGACGCTGAACCTAGCAGACGGAACATATCGCCCGTATAGAAAACCGAACGATACACCGGTCTATGTCCACAGCCAATCGAATCATCCACCAACAATCATCAAGCAAATACCGAAAGCTATTAGTAGGCGGCTAACCGATATTTCATCCAACCAAGACGCGTTCAGAGAAGCCGCACCGCTATAGAACAGCGCACTTAGGAACAGTGGATATACCGACGGACTAGAGTACATGGAAAAGAGAGACAAGGATTCAAGCAAGAAAAAGAAAAACAGACGGCGGAATATCATCTGGTATAACCCGCCCTTCAGCAAGACAGTAGCCACAAACATCGGACAGAGATTCCTGCAAATAATCGAAATACACTTCTCCGCCGGATCCAGACTACACAAGATCTTCAACCGGAATACTGTTAAAGTAAGCTATAGTTGTATGCCGAATATGTCCGCAATGGTCAAGTCACACAACAACTCAGTTAAACGGAAGAGTGGAAACAACGACAGACAGCCCAAGGAAAGACGATGCAACTGCAGAGACAAAATGCAGTGCCCGATGGACGGCAACTGCCAAATCAGCTCTATTGTGTACAAGGCAACCGTCCAAGTAACCGGAGGAGACAGACAGAAGGAGTATATTGGTCTTACACACAGCATTCAAGAAGAGACACGGCCACCATCTAACATCATTCAGACATGAAAGACATGAGAAGATCACGGAACTATCAAAGTGCGTCTGGAACCTGAAGCGTCAAAATGGCGAGTAGAGTCTTGGTTGGTCAGTTATCGCCCAGACTCCAGGTTACAGTAGCATAAACAAGCGCTGTCCTCTGTGCCTAAGAGAGAAGCTAGAGATCCTTCAGGGGACAAGCGTGTCAACATCAACAAACGATCGGAGCTAGTTAGCAAGTGCAGGCATGAAAATAAGTACTACCTCCCAAAATTCTCACCATCAGCCGTCACATACCTTTTTCACTACTCGCAGTCACAGGTGAGGTGCTGCTCATAATTACCCCATTTTTCTTCTTCTTGCCTCCCTCACAAGAACATGTGGTTGCATGAGCTTAGGCCTAAAGTGTATTCCTTTTTTGCACCTATTTTGCACCCCATCAACCAACTCACACAATCATTTTCATAATTACACCATCAGCCCGGATCAACCATTCACGGTATGATCCAAGCTTGCAGCCTACTAGTATACCGATCATATCTTCCGAAAATTGTAGTCAAGTTGCTGTCTGATGATCGGTTAAAACCGTGAAACTCAGAGTCAAAGCAAAAACGCTTTTGATTCCTCTCTAGTGTGTGTGTGTACTCGTTATTCATCTGCAGACCTTTGTCTTGACATAGAAGAGAGCAAACTGGGGCTTTGCTAAGCATGACTGGGTTAGGCTGACCACTGCGGCACTGGGCGGGATGCGGGCAGGCAACATACTGGTACCATGCTGTACATCTGCTTCACTGTCTGCTAACAGGCCGCACAGGAGTATGAACACAATCTGAAGTATGTGCGTCCTCAGTGCAGCATTACGCAGCACATCATCAACAAGCTCAATGAAGGTAATGCATGTACAGCCTTGCTAAGTGAAATCCCATTGAAAATGCCTATTCAGTGCCCTTAATACGCATCACCCTTTCCATCCTACATATGTACAATACATTGATGTGATAGCCGGAACTAGCCCTAGGCACCTGCTTTGCACTGAGGGGCATGTTCGACCTACTGCAACTCTAGTTATAATAATGGACTAGGTCACAGTGTTAATGTGGAGTGTATGGCGTTGACAGGTGCAACTATGCTACCACTAGATCACTACTGCATGCAGTGCTGGCCGTCCTGGCATTGAATCAGTGTTTTAGTGGAGTCCTTGCACTATGGCCCTCTCCGTTTCTTCTAGCCATCACCAGCTACGTGTCCATTACCCCCCCCCCCCATCTCTCTCTCTCTCTCTCTCTCTCTCTCTCTCTCTCTCTCTCGCTCTCGCTCTCTCTCTCTTTCCCTTTCTTGTGTTTCCTCTCATGGCAGTGAGTCGCTCGGATTATCAAACATCAGATCATGGCTCGGCCTTTGAGGATGTAAGTTGTCTAGCATAATTCACACACTAGCCTATCAACTACTCATTACTATAATTATTGCAGTAATATACACCAGCTCCTTTCAGATTCTGGCTGGTCTACTGGATACTAAATTGAATGGTCTTGATCGGAGAGAATGTTTTGCGAGATATTACGAATCAAATTCCCACCATTTTGTGCAATCACGAGTTGTTGTCAACGCAAGTGGCAACGTCTGGAATAGGAACAAGATGATCATGGGAGAGACTTGCAGGAGAGACTCACAGATGCGAAATAAACAAGCACAGTTCATCTGACGACACAAGCATGTGTTGCGGGAAAGTCGCGGCGGCGTTGGGCTCGGGACTTTCCTGTACAGTGTGTCCCTGTGCAGAGTCGCACAATCTGTGCACTGCTGGTTGGTGAATGGCTGCGACACGGTCGGTTTCTGTTCATAGCCACCGGTCTGCGGTGGGCAGCAGAGACTGGAAAGTTATCTTCCTTAAAATTAAGCCCAGGCAGAGTGCAACATATTCTCACAAGTAAATCCTAGCACCTAGCTGCCCGATATGGCTAATATTGTTTTGCCTCTACTGTTGTGTGATTAGAATGAGGAGATGCGTGGCCACCAGAAAGCACTGTTCAGTATGGACACATTCACCAGGGTAAGTGTGTTTGTGAGTTGAATGGTTTCTTTTCAAAGAGCTCACTGGTTCTATCTCTCACCTCAACATCCTTGTCCTTCAGATTGCCTCAATGATCAAGAGAACAGTGCAGTCTATCTAGCATGGCTGAGTATTAGCTGGTCTAATGTATTGCTTAGATGATCCTGAACATCTTGACGCTTTCTGGTATCCGGGACATATACACTTCACTATGCCTTGACAGCAGAAACGCTTTGATTCCTATGTGTGCATGTGTGTATATGTGTGCATGTGTGTATATGTGTGTGCATGTGTGTGCATGTGTGTGCATGTGTGTGCATGTGTGTGCATGTGTGTGCATGTGTGTGCATGTGTGTGTGTGTGTGTTCGGCATGTGTGTGTGTGTGTGTGTTAATTTGTGTGTGTACGTGTGTGTGTCTGTATGTGCACGTTACCATTACTCTTGTGTTACGGGCGGTCGTGTGGCTTGGACTGATCGACACTAGCTCATGGAGGAGAAGAACTATCATGATGCTGCTGTCCTAGCAACCGTACACTGTCCGGTAAGGAGCAATGCTGACAGGCACACTGACTCACTGTGCACATATGACATGAGTCAAAGAGCATTGTGATGATTGACCGTCCAGCTTACCTCACCCCAACTCCCTGCCCTCCTTGTCAACCCACTGGCAATTGAATTGGCCCTCCACCTCACCCATTCCCTGCTTTCCTTGCCAACCCACTGACGATTTACCATCTAGCCCTCCTCACTCCAACCCGTATCCTCCTTGTGAACCCACGCTACGCATAATTATTGTCTTGAGTGGATGCATATGCAAGGCTGGAAACAGAATGAGTTTAGCACCTCGTGCTTCGGTGTGCCCTTCTTCAGGAAGTCTTAAGGAACCACAGCACGCTGAATCAGTTCCAGAAAGCGGAAGCAAGCAAAACAGTGCCGTGAGTGATGTTTGATTTTCTCTAGTGCCCAACAAAATCACGCTGTCTGCCTCCAATCTGGCTATAACTTCACTAGGAGCCTTGCATGTAGACTTCATTATACACACAGTGCATGCAGCACACTGTTCAGCCAGTCAATGCACTGTTCATGTAGTAAAGCGGAGGTTGGGGGGGGGGGGGGTGATCTGATGATGAGTCATCTCCTGTGTTCTCGCTGTGCTTGGAAACCCATTGCAGTGAGCCATTTCTCTGCTACTGTGAAGCAATGGTGACTCTACCTGGCATAGCAATGGATGAGTCTGAAACCATGGAATGTGCTTTCTTCATGATGAGAAAAGGTAAAATTTACAAAATCACAAACACTACCCCATGTTGTACTATCTGCTGGGAGTGAGTCACACAGCAATACTATCAAGTGCAGTCTATACTAGTGAACGGTCTACTTTCCACAAGAACGTTCAGTAGCTTCTATTCTCCTGCTTGTCGCTGGCAAGTATTCGACTAGGGTGACATGCTAATCATGTTTTTTCAAACGATGTCCACTACATATACTCGTTTCCAAATTTACGTCACTGTGTGATTTACAGCAGGTCAGACCTCGCTATAACGACCCCCGCTATAACATAAACCTCACTATAACGTACAAATGTGAATGTCCCTGCCGAAACTGCATCACTTCTGTACAAAATTTCCTCGCTGTAACATAATCCGCTATAGCGTAATGTTCGCTATAACGCACTGTTTGCTGGGTCCCGGGCGCACGGAGACCTCAGCATAACGTAAAAACTCGTATAAAATGACTATGTACACGGCATGCATGCCTTCTTGAGACTGAGCCGTCCACCTCGGAAGCAGGGAGTAGTAAAATACCGGTATTTTACTACTCCCATTACTTTTTATAGGCTGTAATCTTGTCACATGTACAAGTACACGCACTACATGGCTCTTGTCACCCCTTTGCTGACAAGCCTGTACACATCTTTGCTAGTCATCATCATACTTGTATGTAAAACAGTACAGTTGTAATCAGTAAGTGAAGAGTGTCATTTTGACATACATATTGCATATTGGTGTGCCCAACTCACTATAACATAAACCTCGTTATAACATAATTTCTCCCATCCCCCAGAGATTACGTTATAGCGAGGTCTGACCTGTACTTCCAGTCTTTCTTCTGCATAGAACGTAGAGTAACAGGAGTTGTATATGCATAGAGGGTGAACTTTTGATTGATGCTAGTATTCCGGTGGTTATGCAACCAGTGGTAACCAGAGCACAGAGGAGAAATGCTAGTCACCAAATCACCAACATGGCAACCCGTATGTCTGCCATCAGACATCAGACATGTGTGTCCAAGCGGAAAGGGGGGGGGGGGTGGAGGGGTAGAGAGTAGAGAGTAGACTATTTTAATCAAATCTCTAGCTCTGTGAAGCTGATAGCAGTGGTACAAGCCGCTGCACAGTGGGAGTAGGTATGATGGAGGAATGGGTACCGAGGAAACATGCAACGTGTGTGCACGTGTCTTTGAATGTTCTTGTGGGTAACACTGGCGCATGTGTGAATGTGTGTTCCTGCCAATCCTTGTCTATATGCTATAGGCATGCTACGAGAAGTCGAGAAGTGGATGACGATGCGAAAGGTTTGTTTGATGATCACCACACTAGTTTTGTTGTTCCTTTTGTAATTTGGAAACCGTAGAAATCGGATGAAATGAGACAAGCAGACGAAGTCTGGGCTGGCGTATTGCAAAACCGAATTCCCAAGCAGGCATTGATCTCTGCAATCTGTTTCCGCGGTCTGAAACGTGCAGCTTACGCCATCTGCTGGACTCGGTGATCTCCTCCTGAAGTACGCCAAGCATTCCAACTCCACGTAAGTTGTGATTGAACCTTCCATGCAAGGCAGTATACCGTATATGGGTTTGAATGCTGTGCGCATGGTCTGTGTTTCCACTGTCGATGCACGCAAACTGCACAACAATGATGTATATTATAACAGAAACATACGGAAAGATAGACCAAATCTAGGAGAAACCCTAGAATTGGCTAGGAAACTCTTTGCCTGGGGTTGACAGGTATGATGCACACTCACACAACATACACATCACAGACTCAGCTATCACTATGGTGTGTGTTTGCGCAGCAGTTGAGCGTTCACAGCTGTGGACGGGGTGTGTCTCCGGGTGGGGTACATGTACTAGTACTTCTCAGTACCTCGCAATCAAAATCTCAATTGTCCGACAGTTTGTAATTCGTCTTGATTTCGGCGCTTTGCAAACTGCATAAATTGCGTGTAAAATGATCCGTGCGTAGTGCAGTACAGCCAAGAGTACATAAGTAACGGTAACCAACTGAGGTAATAATTGTACTCTTGGCTCTACTGGTGCAGTGTGCCACCCCTGTTTGGTTGGAAATGGTATATGCTAGCGGGAGGCATTCGTGGGGTATAGGCTCCAGAAAATGCTGACTATAACATTCTTATTGTGTTTTGTGGATGCTGATAGCGATGAGAAACGGCGTGCAGTACACTTGGCAGAAGCAGTGTACCTGCGTTGCGGTGGCTATGTACAGGTACGTGATACATCAACAGCAGTACAGTTCTCTGAAGTATCCCATCTTGATGAATGCTGTTGGTACCTTCTCCATTCCAGACGATGAACATTGTTACCAAACTTGCTCTCCCTCCCCCCCCCCCCCCCCCCCCCACACACACACACACATAATTCCGAAGTGACTTCAAGAAATGATGGGTACTACAGCACATCTGTACTATGCAAAATCCTCTGCCCTACATCCCTACTTCCTATCCCCTGGCCCACTTACTAGGCTTCCTGTCACCGCCACTGTGAACACTGTCTTGATTCTCTATACAGGCACTGTCGTGTATGGTGATGCAAGGACAGCTACAGCGCATGCTATCCATCGCTAGGCGGATGCCATCCATGGGAAGAGCTAGTAAGACAGTGTACATGTGTAGCGTACATGTGTCTACAAACCACCTTGAAACTCTCCTTGTTTAAACCCCAATCTGCGGTGTGGTTATACTTTGTACAGCATGCGCTTATAGCTAAGACACAACTTTTAGCCATCGTCAAGATGGTTTGGAAGGCAGTCGTCCTTTTTCTGGAATGCGTGGAAGGCACCTTCGCTCGTGCAAAACTTCTGCGACTTACGTGACAAATTTCAATTTTATCACAACGCTTTATTCTAATACTGGTATATTTATCTTGCCTGTCTCTCGTTTCAGATTTTGTGGAGGTTCTCCAGCGTCACCCCTCTGCCGATGTCGGCTTTGCACTGATGTCCGAATCCAGGTCGCCATGTCAACCAGCCCTGACAGCTGCCGAGGTAGGATACCTTAATTAAGAGTGGGAGGGGGGGGGGATATGTAGAGGCATGCCGCTCAATGCCTGATCATGATGATCAATTGAATATTCGATTCATTGTTCTGCAATTGTAACATGGATGGGGGCAAGACCGTAAAATTCTATGTCTCCACCATTTGGCCATTCTGAATGACTACCAGCACATTTATAGCGTATCCTTCATTATCTATTTTCCTTGTTGACGGTTTCAGCGAGTTGAATCAGTACATTCATACCACCACAGCAGTAGAAAGGCACTCGAGAATACTGTTCACATCCTAAGCAGAAACATGCCTGCGATACTTTCTCTATGTTGTTTGCTAGGTGTTGACCGGTCTGGCCGATGGCGGTAGTGCCTCAGCGACAATGACTGTTGCCTTGGTGAGATGAAGCCCTGTTGTTTAGAATATGCTCAGTTCGGTTGTCAATCGTGCATGCTCTATACTCCGCTTAACAACCCACTGCGATTCCGTCAAACTCCAGTCTTGGATAAAGCTTCGCGCAGCAGTTTTAACCATGCATGTAGTAAGCTTTGGAAGGTATAGTTTGTGCTTGGCCTTCGCACAACTTCACTGTGCAGCGGGTGGATTTCAGACTGTAGCATGACTGTACAACTTGCGAGGTTTGCATTCGCTACTAAGGTGAACAGGCATGGCGGTGGCTTGCAGATGCGAAGGCTAGTTTGTGTGTTTCTGAACATGCAAGCGATGCTGACGCGGATCCCACTTTCCAAGCGGTAAATATGCTATGTTCAACATCGCACTGCCTAAGTTCTGATCCGTGAACCACGCACACTGCACTGCTCATGGATATGTGCTGCACGTCTCTTCTGTCTCTGTGTAACAGAAACTCTTTGGACAAAGCCTGGATGGACTGGAAGCATACATGATTGAGGACAACAGGTAGGGTAACTCCTTCTGGCGTTCGCGGACATAACATATTATATTGTTGAGCTCTGTAAGAGGACCTTGCCCTGAATAGCAATAATGGATCATTATATAATCTACCCACCATTGGAATACAGAGTGATGTTCTGTGCGGCATGCATGCTATCCCAATCATTAGTAGAACTTCAGCTCGTGTGCTGCTTCATCACAACTCGGGGATGGAAAGCAATCTAATCTCACGACACCAGCTAGATTATAGATGATTTGCGTTGTATAATTTTGGCGTCACTATTGCTTGCGAATTGTACTTGATAACTAGGTTGATGGAAAAGCTCCTACCAACACATCTACACATGTAGCGTTCATTCGTTGATGCCATCCTCATAAGCTCTGTTGAACTGGTTGTGCTGCTTTCGGCAAGTGTTGTGTGGTCTCGTCCTGTGTGGGGAGCAAACCCTCTCCTGGTCTCGTCTTGTCGAAAGAAGAACCAATTACAGTGGAGATTGGATATAACGATCTTGGGTATAACGACAAATCGAGTTTAGAGACAACATTATGTTGCCCAAGTCGTTTAGCAAGTCCTTTCTGTACATTATAGATCGGGTATAACGACCTCGAAAATAACGACAGATCGAATTTACTGACACTTTTTTGGTGCCCGAAGACCTGAAAACGCATCGAATATAACGACTTTCCTCTTGTATCAGGCGGATTGGCATGCATGGGACATTATCTGTGTCGCTTGTACCTCTGGGTCACTCCACGCATGCTGGTAGCCGCTGTGCACATGGTGCAGCGTGTGGTGTAGTTGCTATGCATGATTATTGGCTTGAACTATGCATGCAAGACACATGCACATGCACATGCGCATCTAAAATCCATATGCATTATATTATGCACTTGCATATCTGCAATACATTTCTGTCATTTTGATATACATACCGCATACTAAAATGTGAAGATCGGGTTTAGTGACAGATCGCATATAGCGACATTTTGTTTTCTCCCGAAGGAGTGTCGTTGTATCCAATCTCCACTGTACCACTGCATGTGCCAGTGATGCTCAATGAAATCTGGTAATGTGATTAAACTGGTGCTGCGTGCTGTGCAGTCTGACGGGGCTGATTTCCTGCGGTTGGATTTCATTAATTCGGGAATGGCTCTATTCTGCTCTAAATGTAGGACGACCAAATCAGAATGGGCAAGAGTGGCGGACCTGTGTGGAAAGCTCCCTGGACTTGACGAGCTGGTAAATACTTTAGAAAATTCAAGTAGTATTCTGTTGTACACATGCTGGTGTTCTGACTATGCACAACTGAATCACGCGTGGCCAGTGTTTCACTGCTACTCGTACAGGTGTGGTCGTCGGGGTCTGGCCGACTTTTCTATATTGGAGGTTTCATGTGCACAGTCAAGTACAATTGACTAAACACAATAATGCAGAAGTCTACAATTGTATGATTTTTGTCAACAAGAGTACATACAATTACAACATAGTGCATCGTGCCACATGCACCGTCTCTTCTATATGAAGAAAATATGATCAGCTCAGTATTTTTCAAATGCTCATAAATTATCCTCTGCTTTGTTTCGTTGTTCTCACTGTGTGGTAGGTCGACAAAATCGGAACCTGCCTATCCCAAAAGTTCCCAGAACAGCAACTAGCAACAGAGTAGTTTTCTGAGATGTGTATATTATTATTGTACATTGCCAGCAAAATATTCTACAAATATCTGAATTTACATTTCACAGAACATTCATGTAAATTATAATTCAATATTCTTTTGATCTTGTGAGTTTATTGATTACACTTCCTCCTTGTAAGATCACAATGACTTCTATTTGAAGAACAAAATAAGTGTTACAAAAATGCCTGATGTCATCAAGTCCAAAACTTATTTTGTCGATTCATGTCACAAATATAGCCCAAGCCTTATCGGGAAGGAAGATTGGGTCATTCATTGCATGGGCAGAAATAGGCAGCAGAGCTTTCGAGTCACTACAGTGTGACGGCACAAATCCACAAAATTGCAACTGAAATTTACCGTGACATGCACCACAACAAACATGCGTATCCTACTACTACTGGTTGTGAATCATGTGACGAACTTTCGATTTATGAGACAAAGTTTCAGTGTACAGCAGCAGTGATGAAAATTCGACAAATGCTATGCTGTCTAATGGGAAACGGAGTGTAGTGTGCAAAGCTGGTAAATACTATACACGTATACAACAACTCCTTACTCACAGTTGCACTTTCCTGGAGGACGACGCATCCGACTAGCAAGCGTGGCTGCTTGAACACCTTGTGTGCACTATGCAGTAGGACGGATACATGCGACATGCCAGTGTGGCTACATCAGCAGCTGCTCCTAGTGTTTCGCCTTCTTCTTACCCTTACCTTTGCCACCTCTGCCACCCTTCTTGTTCTTCTTCTTGTTACCGCTGGCCATATCGGCTGGCTCCCACACCCAGGCGATGACTTCGTTCATCTTGCGCAACTGGCTTTGGCGTGACGTCCTGCGCACGCCCCTGCGCAGGTTGGGCGAGAGTTTGTACGTGTGTATGTTGCCATGATCGTCGCCGGCAATGAGAAGCATCTGCGAGGGGACGAAGTGCACCTTGGTGAGGCGATTCTTGCTGTACGGTATGACGTCCTGCTTGCACAGCGGGTTGTACTTGTCAATGTCCAAGTCGTACACATGGGCCTGCATGCGCACACCGGCATGGGACAAAAGCAAGCAAACGAAACAGCGATAGTTTTTCAATGGTTGTACAAGTGAGTGGGTGATCTGCTGGGATAGGTGTTACACATAGGGTGTGCTGCGTTTCTTGCTGGTGGCGACTTGTTCTTAGCCATACAATATCGAACAGCTGTAATGTTGTGGCATACTTCCGAGCCAGGAAAACATCGTCTCTTAAAAACGATCCTAGCGGAATACATTACGTACTGTCGTGGACATGGAAATCCGGTCGCACATCTAGCGGTCACAGGGCGCCGCAGTGGCCATGCAGCCATGGGTAAGCAGTATACGCGCATGACCTGATGACATACATGTAATTATTATGCGCTGCAGCACACTGGTCGCATCGGATCAACATGATTGTGCACTGTTCTGTAGGCGCTGAGGGCGCAGGCCCTGGTCAATCGACTGGATTCCCATATCCACGACAGTATATGGGCGGTGAAATCCCACACTGCTAGATTGAGACTGACTGCGGTGCAAGCTGATTTACGCGTCACACCAATCAAGCAGTGTACAGTGAACCAAGGACTACGGTACAGGATGCCTAGGGCTGCCCCTATCCGGGGCACAGAGAAATACCCCAGGGGCCAGACTCCATTACATCGTCAGGCTCTGTACAAAACGGAAAGATAACTGCAGGAGCATCCCTTTAAAGTTCTCCAGACCCCCCGGTGATCACCATCACAACTAAGGCTGAGTCAGATAGCATTTTCTTTAGGTATCGGGTTCGGGTACTTCCTCCGCGTCATAAAAATTGTCGCTTCGCACATTGCAATGTTTGTGACTTGGCTCGTCTTAGTCCGACTGTCGGAATCGCTGTTTTCTATGTTTGAATATTGGAGAGACCCTTCCTGCGCAATGTCCACTTGTTACTGAAGCCGTGGTGGTCTCGGACTTTGTCAGAGCTCTCTTCCGCACCAAGCAAATTCATCGCGCTCCGCACTTTTCCGCCCAGAGCGCATATCATTTTTCTGGAGTTCGTGCCGTCCCACATCGTTCGCGTGGGCATTTATCACGACTGCAAGCTCGGGTATAAGAATCCTGGTATCTTTCCTGAATGCGAAATGCTGAAATTGACGAAGGCAAGAACAAAGTGTTCTCAAATTCCTAAAATGCGCTACGTATGGCGCATGTTGTTGCGAAGGTAGCAGGTCTGAAAATACCAACAAAATCAGCGAAGCGCTTGCCAAGAAAAGAAGGTGCGGAACTGCTTACCCTACCCCACTGGAAGGCCGTTACAGTGTACTTGAAAAGTGATAGTTTGCCTTCATCGCCTGCCACCTGGAGGCATGGATCGCTTGAAAACCAAGTTTCTTGACCAGAATTTTGAACGTCTTGTTCAGCGAATTGTTGCGTGCTGAAGGGTCTGCCTCAAACTCTGATCAAGACGTCGTCGACCTTAGCTGCAAGTGCAGCGAAGCGGGAGGCCACAAACTAAAGCTTGGTCCTTCGACAATGCTCTGCCTCAATTTCTAGCTGATTTCTTTGCCCTTCCAGTGGCCGAAATAAATTCGAAAAATCGCTCTGGGAAGCGACAATTTTAATGACGAGGAGGAAGTAGTTTTCTACGGGTTGCAAGGGTACCCGATCAGGTAATGTTTCCATGGTAACACCACAATGCACCCCTTCCCTTACAGCTACACACTGGGTAGACATGCGGAGTATTACATAAATTTGTACACGTGCACTGTACATTATGTCATCTGCAACTTCGGGTTTTCGGGTACTATTCTCTCCCCGTGCTATCCGAGGTCCTCACGGGTAGCACGGGTAGCCGGCTACCCGTGAGGACCTCTAATCACAACCATCATCAAATGCAGGGAGGACAGGTCTATCAGATCCTTACTACTTGCGCCTTCTTAAAAAGCGATAAAACTTTCGCGGCGCACACATTGCGCGTTTTCATGAATTGGGCTGGTTCACGATGAGAAACTTTTGCGATCGTATCTCTCCAGTTGGACCTTACTGTCTACGATCAATGTACAGAGCAGTGTGCGGCGATTTATTTTCGCGAATGTGTGATGGTGGTGAAAATAGGGAAAATTAATCTCTAGTGAAAGTTTCTCACTTTACAGTAATCTAAGCATAAGGTAGCTAACAGTAGTCATGACTCATATCACTGGTGATACTTCATGAAAAAATAACTCAGGAATGCATTTTCCAGGGATCTGGGCAAATCTTGCTGTGTCCCAACCAGTGCAACTTCAAATCCTGTCGCTCCATATTGTTCAGCGAAGCACTAGCCAGATAGTTTGTGCATGGTAGCGTGGCCGAGTGGTCTAAGGCGCTGGATTAAGGCTCCAGTCTCTTCGGAGGCGTGGGTTCGAATCCCACCGCTGCCAGGATTCCTTTTTCATACTATTTAATTTTTTCATTATCGTCGCATTCAATATATATCACTCTCTGACAGAAACTCACTGCGATGAGCAGCATCAGTTATTCTCCCGAGGCTTTATATTAGATTACACTGTTTTCACAGCCATTTTTGCTCTCTCGACTGTGTTCACAGCCATTTTTTGCTCTTTTTTCTTCCTGTGCTGTTGAGGTTGCACTTGTAATTATTGTGTTTATTTTGCCAGTACAAGAGGCTTGGTTGAGTCTGTGAAAAAAATGAAACTGACTGCGCGTATGCAAATCCCCAGCATGATCATGGCAGACATTCGGATTGCGAGCACGCTATCTATCTGCAGCCCCGGCCTCGCTGCACCAGCTCGAGCCGCGGTCACTATGGGCCAGGTTCCACTGCGGCTCCGCAGAATTCAAATTCTAATGCGTTGCGCAGGCCAGATGACGAGGATTATTTTGATTTTGCGCGGGTATGCAGGTAAAACGTCATTAAAAAAAAGTGGAGCACAACCGCGGTACCGCATATTCTTATTTCTCATATTATTCTGTAGCATTAAATATGGCCTTTTCGGCCCAGTTTTCCAAAACTTTTCCCCGGGGGAGGACCCCCCCCCCCCATCTCACACTTTGGCAACACCAATATAAAGCTGCTTCCTACGCCCCTCGGTTGGTTTGAAGTCCTAGAGCAGGCACTGGCAGGGGCGTAGGAAGCAGCTTTATATTGGTGTTGCCAAAGTACATCACAACTCATTCAACCGGGTCAGAGCCGGGTACGCTCAAGTGCGGCTACTGCATCTACATCAGGGAGCCGTAACACATATTTTAGGACTCCGTGATGTATTTATGTCTTCCCAACCAGGTCACAAGTGATCCAGTGTTCTTTGTTCAAACTGGTCCAAGTACGTGTACAAGCACACCCCAACCAGGTCGCTGACCGGCTCGGGAGCAGAGACTGGTACCCACATTGACATACCTCCAAGTACACCCCAACCAGGTCGCTGACCGGCTCGGGAGCAGAGACTGGTACCCACATTGAAATACCTCCAAGTACACCCCAACCAGGTCGCTGACCGGCTCGGGAGCTGACACTGGTACCCACATTGAAATACCTCGCAGCATACAGACAACACACACAAGCACACAGGCGTGTACAAGTGAGCACACGAACACATGCTCACACACACACACATGCTCACACACACACACACACACACACACACACACACACACACACACACACACACACACACACACACAAACACACACACACACACCATGTACTTACAAACACATGGAGTTCACTTACATATCCGTTCATTGTGCCGGCGACGAACACGGTTGACGAGTACGGTGCCCAGCAGAAGTCAATCACGGGGTCGTCCAGGTCGAATACAAACAGCGGCGTCTCTGGCCGCTCATCATCCCAGATCTTCACGCAACAGTCCACTCCACACGTCGCAAACACACGCGGCTGGAATGGGTTCCAACGCACCGCGTAGATGGTGAAGTTGTGCGCTTGGAATGAGCGGATGTAGTTCTGCTGGTAAAGCGTGGAGCACTTGTGTATGATTCCCTCCTCGGTTCCTATCAGGTACACGTTGTCCAGGGTGGGGATGAAATCAAAGCAGCTTCCACGCGCCAAGTTCAACTGCTTCTCCGGCTCCATCCACGGCTCGGGGATGATGGGGATTTTCGCCTTGTCCTTCAGCTGCATGATGGGGGTGATGTTGCGCCGTGCGAGCGCGTCCTTCGTGACCGTCCACTGCGCGATGAAGCCGTCGGACGACACGCTGAAGAAGTTGAGACGGCGCTGCGGGTCGTCCTTCTGCCATCGCACCTGCCACACCATGTCCGTGTGCCGCTCCAGCACAGGGCTCTCGCACAGTATGGCGTTGGCGCTGGGCCGACGGGCGTCCAGGACGGCCACGCGTCCGTCCAGCATTCCGATGCACAGCATGTGACACTGCTTTGGGTGCACGTCCACGCTCATCACGCCGCTCGCCATGTCCATCACGTGGTCGGGGAACGCCGGGTTCTTCAGCGTGTGCAGGCACACCGACCCCTCGCCCACCTTGTCAATCAGGTCCACGCTGCAGTAGGTGGCGACGAACATGTCCGAGTAGCGAGGGCATAGGCACAACGACTTCACCGCTATACCGAACCCGTAGTTACCCTTCACGCTCCACAGGTGTAGCAGCGTGCCGGCCTTCTTGTAGCCTGCCGTGCCGTCGCGCGGATCGTCAAAGTACACCATGTCGTGAATGCGATCGCGCACGCCGTTCTGCGTGACCATGCGCTCCATGACCTTGGCCACCTTGCTGATGGCCGAGCAATCGTGCTCCTTCACAGGCTCCTCGGCGTCACCATCATCATCACCACCCTTACCCCCTATGCCACCTGTCTTCTTCTTCTTGCCTCCTGAACCACTGCTGGGCTCCAGGTTCTCCAGCTTGATGGTGATCTCAAGCTCGTCTGGCTCGTCCGGTAGTGGCTCAGGTTCCGCCGCCGCCTGCGCCTGCGCTCCGCCTGCCGGCTGGCGCGCACTGGCAGCCGCTTTCCGCTTCTTCTCCGCTTCCAAGCGCGCTTGTTCCTCGATGCACCTGTCGTAGATCTCCCACTGAGTGACACTGTCTGAATAGCCGGCGCGCTTTGGCGGAACGGTCATCGTCTCGCGTGTCGATGTAAACGATGTATCCAAGGTTTGAGTTTCACGATCGATGTAGTTGAACTGGATCAATAGCTTCGAGTCTCCGCCAGTATCGGCAGTTGCGGCAGCACCGCCGCCCTCTCTGGATGCGTCTGCATTCTTCTCCTTCTTTGCTCTCCTGGTCGAGGATTCCTCCCCGTCATCATCCTCATCGTCGTTGTCGTCGTCCTCTTCCCCGTCACTCTGCTCGTCCGGGTCTAGCGAATGCGAGAAACGTCGGGATGTGGTGGTGGTGAGCGAGCCGCTTCTCTCGTAATCTATAGCGCGCGAGCGTTGTCTTTCAGCCTCTTCTGAATCCGCCCGAATGAGATAGCTGGGCATCTCCCAGTGGACGACCATGTGCTCCGTAATACCGATAGACTTGTAAGCGCCCTCCTTGTAGTTGTACCGTGTTACGTTGGACGGTAATCGAGGGTTTGTGGCCTTCAGCACTCGGGTTATGACTTCGTTTAGCTGCGCCTCCCGTCTGGCCGCTGCCTCTTCTTCTTCTTTGGCCCGGCGCTCGGCTTCTTTCAGCTTGGCGTTCTCCTTCTCTCGATCCTTGGCTGCAAGTGAAGCAACCGCCTCACGTATCAACTGCAGGTTATCTTTTTCGATACTCATGGTTGAGGGCCAGGAACGTTTCCCGTCGACCAACCCAGACAGAAACTTGTTCTGTGAGAAAGGAGAGGAAATGGAGTTCTGCAGGACGGTAGAGCCGACGCAGCGGTTGCCTCGCAGTACTGCCAGTAGTCCCTGGCCTACACCATGTACACTGGCTACAGCACCAAACTGTCAGAGTTTCTACGCAGCTGTAGTGCGGGTCTACAAAAAAAAGTACAGAGAAGTACGTGTGCTGCCTGCTCGCCGAGATGTGTAAACTGGAGTGGAGAGTGGAGACAGTACTCAGTAGTCTGGTAGTGGAGGAACGGATCTACATGATCATCATTGGAGTTTTGGAACGGCGCAGCCAGTAGACGGACGCTACTTGTAAGTAATAATTAGCTGTGTAGTTGATAGTCATGTAGATCTACCTGTAGTGCAGACGTACATGCCAGGGGATCAAGGACCTAATCCAGTCGATAATGATGATTGACAGATTGTGACCTTCGCGGTTTAGCTAGCCGAGGCCATCGTTACATGTAGTACCACCCCTCTACCCGCTAGCTTTGTCAGTTTGTGAACAGCCAGTCATGAGGTGTGAGCCGTTCTCGCATGCGCACCCCATGACCGGAAGACGCTCTGCTTTGGCGAGGAGTGCATACTGCCACAGCTAGCCGACCACACTGCACTCTATCTCTGCATCCCTCTACTCGCTAGCTTCGTGAACAGATAATTTATATCTAGACTGTGCTACTTTGTGGTGAGCCGGCCGGAGGTCCAACACTAAAACAGCATGTGTGAACTAAAACAAGGTTTATCTAATACATGTACCAATACTACTACTCCCTGCTTGCTACATGTATCTGTGGATACAGAACGAGGAGGACCAGAACTTCCGCGGGGAATTGTCCACCACAAGCGTTGTATAGTCAATTTCACTGTTGTTCGAGCAGAATATACCAATTTTCCCAGGCATTATCCACCAAAACCTATTCCCAGTTTCCAGCTGTGAAGAACCTGCCGACATTCTAGTACGTAATAATATTACTTGTAATTATAATAATAGGAAACCAGAGGCCACATGCCACGTACTGCTCTTTTCTCTCCGAAACTCAACACTTGCAAGCCAGATATGAAAGAAAGAAAAAATCATCAGTCACACCACCGGGACTCGAACCAGGGACCTTGCTATTCGCGAGCAATGCTCTAACCAACTGAGCTACAGTATGACTCTTATCCACAGTGATGGTCAATCTATCCTTCTTCGATCAATCAATATCTGGCTTGCATCATACTGGCAACTCACACCAAAGAGCAGTACGTGGCATGTGGCCTCTGGTTTCCTAATACTTTGATATTCTCCGTGAAGTCCAAATTTGAAATTGCAATTTATATTTGCTCGCAGTGGGCATAGTTTGATGCGCTCCCCATGATATCAAGCGAATGGCCGAGGGCCCTCTTGATTGGTGTGAGTTGCCAGTATGATGCAAGCAGTTTGATGGGTCGTTAGATAGAGGCCGGTGTTTGTGAGACTGCAATCATAAAATGTTTCTTCCTTAGTGGTGTAGGTAGATTCTGTTTTGTAAGCATAGTAGGACTACTTTTGTTTTGTAAGTCAATCTCATTCTCCACGCTTTGCTGTCATTTGGTTATGTTTTAAAGTAGTTTTTATGACCTGATGTTTGTTTTTATATTTGTAGTTCTATTGTTGACATCTTTTGTCTTTTCTTTGGGTTAAAAGGTTAACTTCATCCTCGTTTTCTCATTGCCTTGTATTGGAATTTGCCCATAAAAGTGGCTACGGTGTGATAATGCATTTTTATATTTCGTGTTTTAACATTATTTTCAGAAAATTGCTCTTACAATACCTTGCGTTTTATATTCTCTGCTCCAAATTTGTTTGCACGAGCATCAGCATGCACACCCAGCTCTATCACACACAGCAGCCATTTGAACATGCGGTGAATGCAGACCTGCTGCACAAGACTTCTTGCCATAGCTAGATAATGGCGCTATGCGCCTTGGAAGAGAGCCAGCGCTGTAGCCCGAACTTATTGTCAGCAACACATCAGATTAAGGCAGAAAACTAAGGCAACGGCAGCTTCAGCATTTGCTAGGCTTCAGGAACCATGCTTTACTACTTCGTTTTTGAAGTACGAAAAACTCGCCAAGCGAAGAGTTATAGGCATATAGACCAGAGCATCATGAGTCACACGACTACAGTCTGCAGCACACACTACAGCGGATAACGGCAGCGCACACTAAGAAGATAGTTGAGGTAGAGGTCGCCGAATACTTTGGCTAGTCACGATGTGCGCTGTCCCCGTCTACCCGGTGGCAGTTCGCGTCTCAACGGGCAGATCACTATCCCTCACCAGCAGCCACAGCAGCATCAACAACATGGCACCTGGTGCCCGGCACTTCGGATCCAGGATCCCAGCAGCTTAGCGTAGCACCCGGTGCTACCTGCAGATATAACATACAGCACACAAAGACACGCAGCACTTCCGCAGTAAATGTTCTTATATAAACTTTTGATGGTTGTATTGTATTGTATTCACAATTCATGAAATCAGACGCACAATATGACATCGGTCTAGAACTAGCCACACTGAATTATTATATCAATCAGAGTATGAATTATACAACATAGCTATGTCAAATATTGCTGCACTCCTCGACGTGTTCGTATCCTTCTTACATTGGCTGCCGATTTTGCTGGCCAGCGGCCGTCGGCTGCTGCGTGCACACTCTGACGAAATGCCCTGGCTGCCCACATCTGTGGCACACCGGAGGGGGCCGAAAGTTACCTGGCATATGCTGAATGGGACCTGGATGTGGACGAGGTGGGATCCCCATCCCCTGCCCTGCCTGAACATTAGCATCGACCGAACCTAGGCTACGCACACCTCCGGCCGCTTTCTTTTTCACCCCTTCTGCTTGGATTGCGGCCTGCAGCCGCTTCTGCTTTTTGGAGCCTGTCACCAGGTCCATGAGCAGGTTGCCTCCTTGGAATGCAGTCGCCACCTGGTGGCCATGGTTTTCAGCGACAACAAGCCACTCCTGCCTCTCTCTAAGTACACGCTCACCTTTTTTCGCTGCTCTTCTCCTTTTTCTCTTCGACTTCGACTTCATTGAGGCAATGATGTCCAGCAATTCCTCGTTCAATGCAAACTGTTTTGCATAGCTGGTCGGTTTCCAGTTCAGCTCTGTGGGTGCTCCGGACTTCCTTTTTTGCCTCGGCGAGCGGGATCTTGATCTCGACTCTGAGGAAGACGAGGACGAGGACGACGATGATCTTGCATCAGGGGAATTTCCCCCTCGTCTTCTTTTCAGCGACCTGCCTCGTTCTGCCAACCTTTCCATGCCTCTTTCCAGCATTCGGATCTTCATGCCCAAGAGCTCTTGCTCGCTCTCGAACTCCGTGGCTGCCTTGGACGCAGCAGCACCAGCCTGTTGAGGAGCTGCAGTTGGGGGTGCCGAGGGCTGGTGTTCCACTGCCGTTTCGTACTCGGACGACGACGACGTGGTTCCGACCCTATCGGAGTCGGGAAACTCAAATACGGCTGAGGCACGAGCGCCTCCTCTCTTGCCTCTACCTCTACCACGACCAGAGTTCACAGCTTTTCCCTTCCGACCACTCATGTTGGCAACAGAAAAGAACAGCACCAGGCCGATCTACACAACGGAGAAAAGTTTTTGGGCAGCTGCACACTTGGCAAGAAGAACAACAATGATCTGCTGAATCACAGCAACAGCACTTTCAACCACAGCACACTGCCCTCGTACCCGTTCCGCACGCACGTGCAAAAAATATTAACAGAGAACTAGATTTCTCGTTTCTTTCGCTTCGAATTCGCTCAGCCAACGAGAAATAAACATTTCATAATATTGTTGCCCGTAAAAGCGGCTTGGTCACATGATGCAAGCCAGATATTGATTGATCGAAGAAGGATAGATTGACCATTACTGTGGATAAGAGTTATACTGTAGCTCAGTTGGTTAGGGCATTGCTCACGAATAGCAAGGTCCCTGGTTCGAGTCCCGGTGGTGTGACTGATGATTTTTTCTTTCTTTCATATCTGGCTTGCAAGTGTTGAGTTTCGGAGAGAAAAGAGCAGTACGTGGCATGTGGCCTCTGGTTTCCTAATACTTTGATATTCTCCGTGAAGTCCAAATTTGAAATTGCAATTTGTATTTGCTCGCAGTGGGCATAGTTTGATGCGCTCCCCATGATATCAAGCGAATGGCCGAGGGCCCTCTTGATTGGTGTGAGTTGCCAGTATGATGCAAGTCAGATATTGATTGATCGAAGAAGGATAGATTGACCATCACTGTGGATAAGAGTCATACTGTAGCTCAGTTGGTTAGAGCATTGCTCGCGAATAGCAAGGTCCACAGTCCCTGGTTCGAGTCCCGGTGGTGTGACTGATGATTTTGGCTTGCAAGTGTTGAGTTTCGGAGAGAAAAGAGCAGTACGTGGCATGTGGCCTCTGGTTTCCTAATACTTTGATATTCTCCGTGAAGTCCAAATTTGAAATTGCAAATTATAATAATATTATTATAATTAACGCAATAAATAGAGTAAGCTGCGCACTCAGTACAAACACCATAAGCAAAACTACATTACATTTTTATCTCCACGGAAGCTTTTTAATTATTATAATTATCAGCAATAATTGCTCACTGCACTTGGAGCATTTCGAGCACTCTTGGCGGGGTTTGCAGCTCTTTATAATAATGCTTTGCTTCACGGAAACGTATTTCATTGCGAAGAGCTGCGCTTCGGTGCGAAGAGCTGCGCTTCGGTGCGAAGAGCTGCGCTTCGGTGCGAAGAGCTGTGCTGAGGAGCTCTAACAGAGCGAAAAAGTTGCTGTCCACAGATTTGAGTAATAATAATTATATTGTGGACCCATCATCACCAATGACAACCAAACCAGCTCCTCACCATAGATAAGTGGCTGACATTCTGACACGTAGATCTACGCTGGCATTACTCCAAAGACAGATGCAACATGTCATGTAGTTGACATCACCTGGGATACGAGAACGCCAAGCTTTGCTACAACCATACAGTCCACGCCTTGATCCGAGGAGACGTGGAGGGACATCCCCTTCAACATTGCTGCAGTCCTGTCCATAGCAGAAACAGCCTCACAATCCGAGTCACATAGACATAGCCCATACAGTCATGGGCGACCTCGAAACATTCCAGTAGATCTACACTGTTCCATACAGGTACGGTGGGTCTCAGTCTTTCTATCGCTCGGCTCAGGCATTGAAATATAGACGCGGA